TATTTTTCATACAATCCATCCAAACCTTTCTCGGGCTCCCTAACCTTACCGCCTCCAACCACATGCATACTCAACGATCCGGCGTGATGTGGAAGTTGCATACTACTGCGTTTCGTGTGGTGAGTGAGGTAGCCGAGGCCCACTTTATTAAAAAGGTGGCAACGCATCTGCAACGGGTGTTGCAAATGTCACTTATCATGTGAACCGCTAGCTCGCTTACCAGCTTCTCACAAATAAAAAATATTGAGACACTGTTGTAATTCATTAAGAAAATCATTTGAACTTGATTTTAGATAAAGCTGTCGGTCTCTCGTCATAGCGACGAGACAGACATTTGTCTTAAAATCTAACCTCGGGAATTATAAAAAAAAATATGTGTGTACTTACATACGAACGGAAAAAGTTATATTTCTTTTGTGTAAAAAAAGAAAATTTGTTCCCTCTGTCTGTTGTTTGTATCAAGGACATTAAATGCAATTGATAACGGTTTAATTTTTTAACTTGAGATTACAGGTAAATGTCAAAAAGTTGTTATTGGTTGCCGTAAACTTGGTCGAAGTTGGTCACTTTGCAACAAACTTCATCATGTCAATCTTCATCATATAAATTTTACGCTCATAAAAATTTCCAAACTCGCCAAACGAAGTATAACTTCGGAAACAAAATAATACGCGATAAAATCCATAACACGGTTTTATCAAACCGCATAAAGTATTCGCGTAAACATAAGAAATCATTAACTGTAACAAGTAAGTAAGGAAACGCGGACACACGACGCGGAAATGTGATAACTGTTTACGTTATGTAAAAGCTAATATTTGAAATCGTAACGTTGTGATCGCGGTATCGGACCTCTGGGTTTTTCCTTTCGTGGTACGGACGGGCGTTCACCCTCGCTGCCCGATGCAGTTTCACTTTTGCTCCGCAGCTTTTAACATGTACGTGTTGACAGCAGTGTCACAACCTACACGACTTCTCGATGCTTTCAGAATATCGATGGCTTATTGTCAGTGTCCGGTCGCTCGCCTTTAATTCAATATACTCGAGCAACCTGAGTTCGATACCCGGTGCCGGCACCAATGAAATTGTTGATTTTAAGTGCTAAATTATAACGTGCTCAGCGGGGAAGGAAAACATCGTAAGGATGTTTGCGAAATTATAATAAAAAAATATTTCGAACATAAGTGAAGTCCGCCAATCCGCAGTTGGGCCGCGTCGTGGACCCTCTGTACAAAGGAGGCCTTTGCGCAGCAGTGGGACATGTATAGGCTGTAACTTTACTTTTTTTTAACTTTTATTGTATAGTTATTCACTTAGATGGGAGGTGGTAGAATTGGTACTTGGATTTGCAAGAACAACAAAATTGTGTTCTACGCACGATAAGACGTAAGGGTCTTTTATAAATATCGACCCCGTATGTAGTTCTCTGCATTAATGTGATTGTGATTGGTTTTATCGTAAGTCGCATTTACAATGTTAAACGCATTAATTCTTTTAGTCGGCAAAAGTAAGCCAAAGTTTTTCCAAAGCATGTTCAACATCTTCTCATCGGTAAGGAGAAGGGTCTCCAAATTCTTATAGCGGTCAACAATTCGTCGACGTAATCATTGGCTGTTTTGCATATGGATTTGCTCGCAGCTAAAAAGCCTGTATTAAGAAGGACACATCTTATACCTTTAAACGAGCAATTCTTGTATATATATATACATAATCGGAATCTCGGAAACGGCTCCAGCGATTTTCGTGAAATTTAGTATGTGCATAGATTCGGGGGCGAAAAATCGATCTGGCTAGGTTTCATTTTAAAATTTCACCGAAAAAAAAATGTTATAATAGATCGGTCGGTAATCGGGCGGACCCGAAACAAAAGGCCGTGGTTCGTGTCACGATCATTTCCACACTTATTTTTTTTCGATTCCAGATCATTGCTTTTTTGTCGATCCAGATATTATTTTTTCCCCTATTTTTTAAAGTTCTTTCTTTTGTAAAAAAACACCAGTTCATATTTTCTATTATTACGTCGGTAAGATATTATGCATATTTCATTACTCAGTATTGAATATCTGTATGTAATTTCCAAAATATACGTTTTACCAAAAGAAAAAAAAACCGGGCAAAGCTCGGTCCTTCAGGTACTAATAATAAAACATAATCGTAATTGAAGTAAAATTATCTGACATCGCGTACTTAATTAGAAATGCGTCCTGAGCCACTTTCGTTTTTCAACAAAAATTTTCTTTGTTTTCTTTTCGGTTGTGAGCAATTCGCCCAGTGAAAATGTGAGCGGACGTTTATCATTGTGCCTTAATTAATTGACTGACTGTGACTTGAGCTGATAAGTTTGTTGTGAGTCACGCTTAATGCATTCTTAATGTTGTAAGAACTGTTTTTGATCAAATGTTTATGGATTAAACACAATAAGGTAGACTAACTATAACTGAAAGTGGCGCCGTGAAAAGACTTTTCAAGTAAAGCGAAAATAAAGCTTTCTTTCGGATTGAAAAAGGGTTTTATTTGAATTCCCGAAGTTTGGAACACTGTTCACGAGACAGACTAACTCGTTTTACATCCTAACAAAAAAAAATCTTTTAATAGTTTTATTTAACTACCCATTCGCATAAATACGTGAAAAGAAATCAAAATAATATCTCAATTCAAATGCGATATTTCGACCACGTCATATTAATAAAAATGTAATAATTAAACATTCAGTTAACATCATAAATCCTACAAAAGCAGGTCACTTTTGCCAAGCAAATCACCTCGGGACTTAGCCAGCGTCTGCGCCGAGCGTGAAAACCTAAATGCGGAGTCATTAGCAAGAACAAACGCATTTTCTAATAGACATCCCGTGTGAAACGGCCATAATAGACGATTTTCCATCTTGACACAGTCGGCTGGTAGGGAGGAAACGGCTGCAGAACAAATAATGAGAATTTCGCAGCGCATCTTCCACACATTTAAACCGTACGTCGCTTATGCGCGCAGAAGGTACTACATTAATGACAATGCATGCGATTAGAAAACCGAAAGATGGTGAAATATAACTATTTTACGAATTCAATTTTCAAATACGGTTTTATTTTAAAAATAAAAGGCGATGGAATTTTTTAAATAGTTTTATTAAAACCGTCAATCGGTCCGATCACTACCACGTCCGATGAGTCGGAAATATCGGCCACATTGGTTTCGATCACGGCGCCGAGTAAACAGAACTCTACGTATGACCCGCTTGTATAGACAATCCTCCGCACAAATGGTCGACCGTTAGAACTAATTTGGATTTACAATAAATTAGTTTTTAATACAGATTAACACGTTATAAATCCACATTGGCCTATCGGACGTCCACTTTTGGTTCAAAATTAGTTTTTTACAAACAAATATGATTAAGATCTCATGGTTATTTATCGCATATAAACCTTTTTAAAATAGAAAACTCTGAATGATAACTTAGTCCTCAGATCAAAATTTATATGAATATTTTTTTCACTATTTAATGTAACTTTTTTAATTCTAAATGTTAGTGACCATATCCGTATAACAGACGAAAACAAATTTTATTAAATATAGAATAACAACAGTTACTAATAAAAAGGAAACTTGCAACATCGCCTCGCTTGTTATAAGATTATAATTGTGTTGTTAGCTGCAATAGTTAATTATTTAATTAAATGGTCGAAGAAAGTAAACTTGGATCGTTGACCGCGAATGACGCTTCGTGAGAAGAGAACGCTTTGCAACGCTTGTACAATAATTATTAAACCGTGTGATAGTTATTGGATTATTAAACCGTGTGATGGTATAATAATAAGACGAGTAAAGTGCATTTTGCACATGCAATTTTTATAATTTTGCCTAAATGAAACACTATTCCACTTTACATATTAATTTCTCTGTCATTCACAAAATTATTTTAGTCATAGCATTCATTATGACTCATAATTCAAAGGCCGTAACTGCGTTGTGCTATGAACAATTTTATTTATTTTCTTTCAAAAGACGACACATATATAACGATACACACCTTGAAAAAGATAGAAGCTAATTTAATGGCACAGATAAAGTATTAAAATTTATATTCATGCTTTAAAAGAATCCAAACGTTATTTTGTCACGCGACAAAATAAACATCATGATCACTTAATTAGTGCGTCGTTTGAGTTTTTTTTTTTATTTGCATACATCTTTGTAAACGATACAATTGCACGATTGCAATCGTTAGTGGGAACGTAAATTTAACTATTACTGAGAAGTTTCTCTGTTTAGGTCATATACGAGTATGTGAATACCGTCGCAAAGTTAGCTTTTACTTTGAAATACTTTACTTGTAACTGGATATATTATTCTGTGTTAGCCGTTTCCTCTATTCGGCAGTAAACAAATTTGAACTTTTAACATGCCAGTATTTCATTATTAATCACATAGCGGTCGTTTGTCTATGTTTCCATCAATACGTGCATTTTTATACGTTTTAACTTCATATATCCTGAACGTCGATAACATAAAGAAACAAAGTATTAAAAAACATTATTTATTTTTAAAAAACAGTATTTTATTTATTCTTTGATGCCTGTTAACACCAAAGAAATGCAATGTCCCTTTTAATTTTAATTTATTTTTTTCAATTAAGAATTATAGTGATACATGCTATACGAGCTTTTTATCGTGTTATTAGAGATGAAATCCCTATTAGGCTTAAAAAAGTATCTTGAAGAAGACCATACATAGCTTGTGCCATTTAGACGATAAAACATATTCACTGTAGTACAATATTATTACCAATAAACATGAATGTATGATATACTAGCTGCTGCCCACGATTACGTCTGCGTAGAATAGGCTGAAGGCGTAACATTCAGACAGAAAGACAGATATACAGAAAAATGTATATAAGTTGTAGCCTATGTGTTATTCTGATGTATACGCTATATTATTGTAAAGTTTTATAATATTAGTAAGGATTCAGATAAATCAAGGCTTTTTTGTTTATTTTCCAGATGATTCCTGTTAGATACACGCGGATGTACACCGCGCTGTGGCTGTTCTGCGCCGTCCTCAGCGCATCAGCAGAGTCTGGCGACCAGAACACTACCACTACAAAAACCGTACGCACCACCATTCTCCCCTCGAGGACCACGAGAACAGAGTTGAAGGTATCGAGGAGCCTGAATCCCCTCAACACCGAGACTTTAAACGTGAGAACAAAAGCAGGTCATGTAACGCAGCTGATAGTCAAGAAGAAAGATTTGAAGTCGACTACATACGCTAGCACCACCCCGCCGCCGCCAACAACCGTCTCCATCAAAACCACAGTCCTCAATACTACGGAAGATGACAGAAACAAAACCGAAAGCCGCGATCAGAGGAAACTCAACTTTGTTGGAACGGTTAACAGTGACCTAGCTGGTTTCGATTACTACCTAAACCGCGATAAAGATGAAAGTTTCAGTGACGTTAAAGCGGAGTACGGTAACTGGTCTCCGGTTTCCGTTTACCCGGAGTCTCACATTCAGGAAGACGGGGGAAAGCCCGACGTCGACCCAGAAACCGCTAGCTACTATCCGACTTACGACAACGAAAAGAAAACGGAAAACAAAAAAGTCTACATAACATCGACGAGTTTCCTCGACTATGGTGGCCGTGTAAAGAACTACAGGTTCGACCCCCATAACCCCATCATAAAAAACGATAGGAATCCAGTGTACATCGAAGTTGTAAGCACAAAAGTGTCCGACGGCGAAGGTGAAACGTTTAAGGTACCCGACCCTGTTGTGGTGAATTCAGATCCGACGTATGTTAAGAAGGCCATCGAGAAGTACAACAAACGCGGAAGGTCCATTCTATCCATTGGTGACGACGGTATCCCAGAAATCCACGGCATTAGAATGCCCGATGACGAATCTGATAAAAGAACATGGCGCAATGCTAGAGTTGTGAACGGTGAGCTTATACCATATCCCGAAGGGTACACTCCACCGAAAGCTATACCCGAAGCAGACGTCTACCCGGATTTGTCGGCTGTCGAACCTTCCCAAAACTTGGGTCCGTTCACTAAGGAGGACAATTTTAAACATAAAGACGGGCCGTTCACTAAATTCGACAATATCAAGTTTGAAGCCGATGATGCGATTAGCTCTTACACCATCAACAACAGCCCGAATTACTTGTACAAACAGAAAAAAGATAATCACTACCTGAAATCCAACTACGGTCCTTTCACCAAGGCGGACAATTCGAAAGTGGCCAACTCAAAACTAATCGAATATATAAAACAGATAAACGAACAAGAATCTAAGCGTGACTACTTTAGCGGTCGCAGCTCACGAGCTCATGGAGATTTGGATTACGCTGAGAGCCATATACAGAGGAGAATGCTGCAGCATCCAGGGGACGTTAACTTTCCTAATTCACTCGTGTACACGCCGAAAAATTCGAAAATAACTTTCGATGAAGGATCGAGAAATCCTGTTTTGCAGTACGCCCACCCTGAATTAGGCGTGCAGCCTGCTAAAGCTACACGTGATGGCATGGATAATTATGAGGCCAAGGAAAGAAAGGTGAAATATTACACAAGTGTTCCCAAGAGTGCCCATCCTTACCCCATGGAACCGATAAATGGTTATGGCCAGCAACGAAGCAAAATACCCTCTAGTAATAGATATTACGAAGATGAGTACAATAAGTTTTCATATTATGAACGCAACCATGGGCCGAAGTACCCGTACACTTATGGTTACGTGAAACGAATGCCTGAGCCCTCTTTATGGAAGAGGTTCACTGATTCCATGAAAGACACCATAAACACAGCGAGTCAAACTGTTCAGTCACTAACGCGGCCTATCATTGACCCAATTGCAAGAGTGACTCAACCTGTGCTTGACCCAATTGTTGAGGCAACACACAAAATCTCACACAACCTAGGCCTGTACCCAACTAACTCAATTCAGAGCCAAAGGTACGCTCAGGACAAGATTGGTGTCGCCGCGGCAGCAGCTTCCGGGGCTCCCGCTATGCTCCCAGCCCTAGGGCTCATGGCAGGTGGTGCGGCATTAGGTCTTGGGGCAGTGGCCATGGGCAGGTTGCTCGACGTGAATTTAATGCGAAACTCGGGTCTCAGCGAAGATTCAGACGAGGACGAATTGGAGAAAGAACACAAACGCTCCTTCGCCGGCGCGCCGTACGACATTGACAGGCAAATACTAAGTACGCAGAAGTTCTACGATGACAACTACAAGATGCCGAGTGAAAATGTTTATGTGGTCATGTCACCTGACAGCGAGGGCAACCGCGCCAAGCGGGACGTCCTGAACTTTTTGAACGCGCCCTATCAAACTGGTATTTTGACTAGAGTGAAACACAGTGTGAAGCGATCGTTATCGGAGGACGTGCCGGACGATTTGCAACGCGTGGACAGTGGCCTAAGCTCGTCGAGCTTAACGACGGCAGCTATGGACCTGGTGAGGAAAACGGACTGGAGGGACTCGCAGTGTGCCAAATATACGTTTTGCAAGGTGCTAACATCCCAGCCGTCCGACTCCATTTTCACAATGGAGAAGAAAATGGAGTCATTACTGAAAATGTAAGTAGTCAATTACTTATACTTAAAAACATTCAGCAAAAATAAAACCTCTAATTAGTATGTTTTATCATTTGAACGTTTTTAAAGGTCTTCGTTATGGGTCTCGGTTGACTTAATTTATTGTCATGACATATTCCTATACAGATGTGTTACGTGTCATTTAAGGACTCACGGAATTGTTTACATAGGTTCCAAGAGACACGTTACCATAGGGATAAATCACTCTCGAGGCATCAACATTTCTAACCGGAACGTCAAAGTGACAGCAGAGTTACTCAACAAAGACATCAGCGATATCCGTAATCTCGAGTGTCCGAGCCGTCCGAACGAGCCTTAGTCAGCGTGGTGTTGACAAGGCTGTTTGGAACGTGTTTTTCCGGGTGCACTAACCCAGCTTTCTAGGGGTCAGCACCGCCTCTGTTAATACAAACAGCACACACCGACGCTTTCGGGACGTTTTGCGTTGCATAACGGCTCGTATAACACTTTCGTGCGGGCCGTCCGTTGCATAAACGGCCAGCGTGGTGAGCGGCCACCGAGCCGGCTCTCTTAGAAACGCCATCGCCGATGCCGGTGAAAGCGAGTGAGATGATTCGCGCCATTTGCTACGCGCTTTATAATTGTTATAATAAAGGATAAACGTTAACGGACGCGCGGGCCCATAAAAATTAATGGCCGCGCTGTCATGTTAACAAATCGCCTTTCGTAGTGCCGCCGCTACGGTTAGCTCGACGCGTCGAATTGTAAAATTGAACTCATTAATAAGCGGTTGGAAAAAAATGTATAACGCTTCGCCTTTCCGTGTTTAATGTTCAACGCCTAATGAATATATTTTGTAGATTCAGAGTAGCTATTATCCGATTGACATGGATTGAAATTTAAATAGGTAACTCTCACCGCAGTGAGCGTGTTTCTAGAGCACTGTGTTCACTCATGAGTGTGAAATAATTATTCGTATGTCGTACATGTATTGTAGGAAGTGGGCTCGGATCATAAACATGCGGACAACTGGCAACTTTTTGGAGGAAAAAATTGTAACTAGATACAACAAAATACAAAGAACAAATAACATAGAACGCAATACAACGCTTAGTCTGATGATAAGTACTTACGTCTTTTATCAGTTGTACCTTGTACCTTGTATTAACTGATGTTTTTGGTTTCAGTCCCGAGACTATTAAAGCTTCACCTGACTCAGAACCGGTGGGCTAGCCAGAACCCACGGGTTTGGGTTTTATCAGTTACAACAGTTTAGTCTAATCATAAATTTTATTTTATAAGAAAATATAGCGATCGGAAATGACAGACAACATCCACATCAAAACAACACATACGCATACGACTATACTACCTACTTACCTACGTACCTACGTCGTTCGTTATTCGTTTTAATTGATTTTTTTTTTCAATGACCTTCCTGCTGTCCAGTCACTATGTGAGTTTCTTATATCAATAAAATTTTATTATTATTCTTTTAATATATTACAAAAAAATTATATTGTTTATCTGTTTATTATTTTTGATATTTTGTATTTATTTTGTTACTGGTAAATATTATTAATCAGTACAATTCATGATAAGCGATTCGTACGCCTCTCTGATTTATGAACGGTCGGCCGATCGGATTTGTAGTTTCAGTTGACAGTATTTTCTTCACGCTTAAAGATTGGTGCGCTTTTGTAAGAGAAAACTCTTAGCGCGCACGAAAGCACGCTTTTGCGCGCTTTTCACGTACAATTTCCCGCATGATCAATTTGTTTAATTGATTGCACATCGGGAAACGCTACACTATCTTTGAATAAATAACTGTTTATCTTCAGTTCAGATGTAAAACGTAACACTGGCCTTTGAGAAAAAAGAAAAGAACTCATACGAATCGCCTGATTTTTACCTGTCATTTTTATCGTCCGACACGTATCACATTCACCACCTTACACAGTATTGATTAAATTTTGTGTGTAACTATTAGTATTTGTAAAATACAAATTTTAATCGAGTAAGACACAACGGTAACATCGGTCACAGAGTAGATAGTTTTCCCAGCAATAAGCGTGAGTTTCACGGTTGGCCTGCGGAGCGTGGCGTGGTGTGAATATCACTCTACATGGCAGCCGGTGCGCGTATCAGGAAGGAATTATGTGCATTTTTCAACCGCACGAGGAACTGTTTCAGCCTACATTCGCTTTTATAAAAACAACAGCCGAAAGTCAATATTTGTTACGAATCTTAATTCGAACGCCTTGCTTACGAGTCAATCGAGCGTAGAAAAGTTTGGTTCGGTATCTTCCTGCTTCAATCATTGTAACGAAACGCATACTATGAATACTTGGTACTTACAGCAGTTACCATTGACAGGTAATTACAGCTGTAATTACCTGTCAATGGTAACGTCAGTGATATTTATTTTTTTAGTAGATTGTTTGCATTTGTTATTTGTACATAAGGAAGTATTAAAATGGAAGGAAAAATAACAATATTTCCAGTTACCCTATAAAGTTATCGTTAGCCAGTTCAATTTAAAATTTTATTTTTGCAAAGTTCGTTTTTGCATTAATAAGAGATTTAGATTTTCTCTTTGTCTTAAACAATTCGGTGTGATATTAATCGTAAAACAACACAGCTCTTTTGTTTAAATTGGTGTCTTCCGAATAAACTATAATATAATTCATGAACATAACATAATTCATGAAGATATAATGTTATAAAGATATTAAAATTAATTATACATTTAGTAATAAAATAATAAATATTATTTAATATGTAAAAACTTTCTTTATTTACATAACACAGTAAGTAGAGTTAAACTGTTAATTAATAACTGAATAATTTATTGTAACTGGATAAAGTGAAATTGTAGCAAACTTTGCACGGCGACTTTTCTCGCCGACAATTCGATAAAATTCAAAATACTGGGTTTAGGTTAGATTTAAGTCTATTATCAACAAAAACAAATAGCTGTCACTTATATGATATCATATTTTAACATAGTAGAGTGTAAAGTCCGTCGTCGCATGTACTGAATGTTGTAATTAGATGCTAGTAGGTAGTAAAATATCATTCCTAATCATATTTATTCGTAATTTTTATTTTAACATTACCCCTACTGTAGCCTAAGTTAACCAGTGTAGAACAATTGTACAAACACAAATGAATAAAGGGTAAACAGCCAGACCCGGAACAATTTTATCTGTAGCTCATACAAATACTTGTCCCGGTGGGAATCGAAGCCACTACCCGCTATCACTTTGTGATCACGTTGGTAAAGGAGTTTGACAGCGTTAGCTTTTACTGTCTTATTTCTAATTTACTTTTGCAAGGCAAGGTCGAATGCTGTTCCTGAGCCAGTGGAGTAGTAGTAAATTAGTGTGTTACCGCTAATTTTCTTTAGTCTTTATTAGCCCGCGAATTATTACTGTAGGAGAGCATAATCTTAGATTAGTAGCTTTCTTCTCATTCAAAGTGGGCTTAGTTTAACATTTTTCTATTACAATAACCCACTAACTAAACTAAAGCTAAAAATTATTTGTAGCTGTCAGTAGATGTTCAAACGTTGTTTAAAGTCAAAAATACTGAACTGAAAATCATTTTTTTCTGTTTCTTTCTGAACCGATTAGCAAGCATAGTGGGTAGTGAAGATGTGTCTTGAGCAGAGGGTCCGGTTTTGATCTCGAACACTGGAACAATGATTACCCCTTACTTTATTGACTTTATTAAAAGTGGGCAATTGTTAGTGTTCCAAACGTCCATGGGCGGCGGCTATCACTTATCAGGTGAACCGCTTGCCACGTTCTCACATAAAAAAAGATGCTGACTTTTATTTTACGTTTGGAGGTTCTCTGAGAGCTTATATTCTCTATATGTATTTATTTATGTGAAATCTGTTTATCGGCTACCCAATAGCCCTTGCTGTGCTAATATTGGGGCTAGATAATGTCCTGAAATATTTACTTATAACTCCCTCGTATTATTCGCCGGATCGATAGAGCGTGTTGGCACATAGCTTTGCCATTAATCTATTGGCGTTCAAGTGTCCATTAGGCTTGTGGGGCTGAACTAGTAGTGGAGCATTTACTCGTACCAGTGATTTAACCACACCTGTCGTCATAAAACTTTCGCCGTCGTGCAACCGCATCCGCTCGTCCACATGACGGAAAGCGCGGAAAAGAGGAAAGAGAGAGAAAACCGAGGAAAGGGACAGTGAGTTAATGACGTCACGACACGAATAAATAGCTGCGTATAATTACGTTACAGTTGCCACAGCTCGAACTCAGCCATAGCAGAAGCATTACTAATTATAAAGTTCAAGAAAACAAAAGAAGCATACGAAGGTATCTTCTTACTGTGCTACTGATCTCATTTGACTTTGGAACGAACCATCAAGCGGCAATCGCTAATATCGAGCGGCAACAATTATTATTGCCACCTATATACTAACATTGTACCATACATTTGTATAATCTACAATTAGGTGCGTGATAGATAAGGCAATGTGGTGGGTACCGTTGTAGGTCATTGGGGTCATGGACCAGCTTCTGCTATTGCACGAATAGATAGACTCGCTTGAGCACATACCACGGCGTGAAGTTGAAATATTAATTTTATTTTCTCATTTCGTCTGATGGGCGAGGTAATTGGGGCCCACTTTTTAAAAATAAAACTGGCACCGGATCTGCAACCCTGGTGCATTATAGATGTTCATGGCGGCAGTAATCACTTAACATCGTGCGAACCGCCTGCTCGCTTGCCAACTATAGTAGTGTTTAAACAAACGAAATTGCGTATTGACGTAACGTTAAGCAAGACCTACATTAGAACAACTACTATAATTCACATTCATAGGGAAGTGTTCAACGGAAGTATCGATGGGCAATGTATCCGTTTGCCTTTAAGATTTCAAGTTTCAAGATGTAACGACAAATTTCTTACTTACACATTATTTGGTTATTCGGTAACGAAACGAAAGTTGTTAAGATATACAATTTCTTTTTCGACGACACAATTCTAATGAAAACCTAAAGTAAACTCGCAAGTAAAACTTACTTCAGACTAATAAGCGGTTTCTTTCATTTGTTTTCTTTTTCTTTTGTTTGTTTAACAGCGACCTTGGAATCTGTCAGTAAACGGCATAGAAATTATACCCAAACTGGACATCATTTCATTTTAGAATAATTGATTATACAAACTATCCTAACTTCGAATTTTCTTACCCACAGCCAGCCATAACAGACCAATTGGGCGCTCTTTTGTTAAATTCATTCGTTTGTACTTGGTTTCAAATTCCAGTGTCGTTAAAAATAACCCTGTTTGAATTTTAATTAACACTCGCCGGTGTAGAAAAAAATCCAGTGGAAAATCTTGCATAACTGGAAATAAGCAAATAACTATTGGATTCTGAAGTACGCACGGGAACCGCGTTAGTGAATGTACCTTCTTAGCAGTTGTATAGGGGACACCTTAGCATAGTGAGACATATACCATACTTTCCCGTTAAAACAATGAAGATATGTGTGTGCATATCTTGCTTATTTAAGGAAATTACTTTAATTATAATTCATTAATTTTTTTTATATTTTTTAAACTAATATCAATGAACTAACGTCATACAGTAACCAGTTTTGTTCAATGTACTCTTTATTATATTATTTTTTTATCATATATCTTTCTAATTTTGTCTGATATATGTAAAGTATATAACTATGGATTATAACAAACATATTTCATCATAAATTCAACATGGCATTACATTCTCCTTTCCTTGATTATTTCAAATTCGAAATCAATTTCGCGCTAAGCTCTCATTCAGACAGACAGCTTGCCGCCAAAACTCCTGTCATAACTGTTACCGAAAACCTTGCGTAATGGCGGACAGCGCACGCGCCCGGTGAAAGTGTTCCGGCCACATTCTGCCCCAGCGCGCGCAGGGACCGCCTTACAGATTATAAAATATCTGTCCATTATATAAATACTTTTTCATTAGAATCACACGCATAACAATCTTTATATTTTATTTTAAAACTTATACGTTCTTCAGACAAACAATTGCACATACTTCGGTCCTGGATGGATAAAAATATTATTTCAAAACATTCCTTTTATGCATATAAATATATATAAATAAGTACATATTTTTATACATCTTTATCTAGTCCCAAACTAAGCAAAGCTTAGGTCTTAGGCTATAGGTCTTTCAGGTATACATATTACTAATATGTTATTAACATAAGACACTTTAGCATATTTTTATAAATAAATATATATTATTGTAACATAGTATATGTTACAATAATATATGTAGATGTATAAAAAATACTTTTTCCATAATTCAATATTTTCCAATAATGAGGATCGAACCCGCACCGTATGACAAAAGTGTCAGGTCCACTTTCCACTGCGCCAATCGCGTGGTCAATATAAACTAGATCATACTTTTTTAGGAAGAGCAATGGTGACATCTCTCATTACAAAATTATTTATTTTAAAACTTTTTACACATAAAACGTACAATGGCGGACTTACCACCATTAGGTATTCATCAGCAGTCAACCGACAAATAAGCAGAGAAAATAAGGTGGTGCGAAAGAGCCAAATGAGAAAAATCATCACAGCCACAATGTTCATCGTTGAAAGATGGTACACTAGAGGGCGCCAAGCAATGCTAAAAATGCAATACAAAGAACATAGACAGATGTAGAGATTTTCGCTGAGACAGAAGATGCAGGTTCGAATCCCGCAACGGCGACAGTTTTTATTCATTAAATCTACAAATATTTACAATTTATAGAACATACCTCTAAAGGAGAGTAGAAATAACAGTCGAACCGAAGACTCCTTTCTATCCCAGAACTTACCAAATAAGGATTAAGGAGACTGATTTACTTGATTAAAAGTTAATTTGTAAATAAAAAGCAAACAAGTCACACTAGTTTCGGCTGCAGACTTTCAAAAATTTAATCGACACATTAAATGTTTACACTCTGTAACATGATTTTTTATTTGGCGTCAAACTCTATAATGCATAATTATGATCATATTCAAAAAATTACTTCATCAGAACATGTACTATTACTTTAACAAATAAATCCATCGTAATTTGCTTAAAAAAAATATTTGACGATAAATAAAATTAAACTTTCCCAAAGTGTTATAAAACTACGTAAGAATCAATTAATCGTGTATTAAACACTACAACATTTTTTCCAATGCTTGATCGTTCATAAAAAAGTCAACAATAATCATTACAGTCAATTATTAGTCAAACACACTTTCATGTTGACCTTTGCTTGGTACTCCGACATTTTTTTTAGTTACTGTAGAAAGAATTTCATATGGCAACATTAATTTCGCTTCAGGATCTCCCGCGGCAATGTCAGCGGATCTTCGGCGGTGGCGCAACAGCTGGGGGATGTGATGGCGGCCAGTCGCGACCACGACTGCGCCCGCTTCCACTGCGACAGACACTGATCACAGATGACACTGGCACCAGGAACCAATAGATCGAAGCAAGCTAACGTTCTAGAATAACCACCAACACGGCACACGACCGGAATTGGAACAGAAGGCTGTGCCACTGAAGTAACACGGGCGTGGGCTAATTATGGGTGCAACAAGTAGCGACAATACTTGGACGGTTCCAATATAGATGCAAACGTTCCCGAATTTATGACGGATAAAGCCCATATTTCTTTGTTGAATTTTCATTGTATATGAAATGCAACCGGTTACACCAATAACTTTTTACAAATAGTATTCTTTTAGTAATAGGATATCTTAATACGAATGAAGATTTTTTATTGTAGCGTAAGCAATATTTGCTATATTAAGGAAAAAAAGATAGTGAGCTATTCATACATTACACACAGATTACACGTTGCTATTATTTGCAATTGAAAAAATGTTACAATAATTTGTGTAATAAACACGTGTATTTAAGAGTAAGTACAAATATCATTATATATAGTCCTCGTAATATTTTTACGACATTAAAGTTTTTCAATAATTTATATTTCTATTGTAAAATTTTCTCGGACGTGTCAAATGAAAAAAAAAATCATAAAATTAAAACCTAGAGCTTCAAAAAGTGTTTCTACTACGAATCTGTTGAAATGTATATTTTTTATATTTTAGATTTTTTTAAGTGACAACTTTCCTATTTTATAATGATGAGTTAACTTTTTTGTTGGTATCTGTATAGAAAATATAACTCTTAAATTAAAATATCTTACTTGTAACGATCAGAAACATCTATTGTACTTACTCTAATGCGTAAATTACGAATAATGTATTTTATATTACGAACAATTGTTATAATGTACGACAAATTTTTGAAGTTATACGAACGTTAAATCAAACAACTTAACAGTGGATTGCGGAAAAATTATTCGTAATGGAAACAAATATTTATTTAAATTATTTTAGAGTGCTTGTAAGATGTAAATACGCTTTGTGAAAATGTAAATTATTTATTTATTTTTATAATTAAACGTAATATGGCAAAAAAACGTCGTTTCATTTTAGCTTCGATTTTAAATAAACCTTATTGTAAAGATCAACATCAAAGATTACTTTGAATGCGGATCGAAGAATTATAAACTTCCCGAAATATCGACCATAAATTCATAAGTTATGAATCATAACCCTAATTAAAACGTAATACACAATGATATTTTATAGTATACAGGGTGATTTTTAGATGAAGTAAATACTTGTGTGTTAATGTTAATTGAGCATTCCATAATTAAAAAAAATATTAATATTTTCTTTTGACAAGAAATAACCAGAAAAATATCAATTCAAACATTGTTTGTTTATCCCGTTAAAAGTGGTCACCCAATTGATAAGCGGCTTAGTAATAATGCGTTCAGCGAAAAGTTTTAGCGCTCATCAATAGGTTATTGTATTGAGACGGTAAGGCAGGAATTTTTAAGGTGTCCATAATGTTTGAAAAAATTTAAAATAATCTTTGAAAAAAAAATGAGGTCACAAGTACGTACCAGATTTATATTTAGAATCAAATTCTGCATATGCTCTGTTAATACGTCCGTCGTCTATAAAATCAACCTGTAGATATCTTATACCCTTACAAAATCACCAGTCGAAAGTGTTATTAATTAGCTAAACCTATTTTCAAAATGACAGCGCACATTCACACGTCTCGTTTTCGTTGTATAAAAGGGATAGGTTAATTATAGTTAATTATAGTTATTAAAGCAATAAGAAAAAAGAGGATGGCAAGTTTTTGTCACTTTAGCTAAATTTTTCTCGTCCCCGTATTAAACTTATTTGCTGCCTCTTTTTTGGTTTGCCTCGACGATTTCCCAATTGGGAAGTATTTGTGACTTCACTCCGGGCGCGTTAACCACATATCGATAGTGTAAAATATCATCGGTAATACAACAAAACAAGATCTTGAGATTATGTATTTGTGGCACTTGCTGTTTCAAACCTTAGGTCCGTGGGGTCCCTCACACATAAAAATATTTGAAAGGTTTACGTCCTAGACTTTTCACTGCGGCTGGTGACAAGAGTGCTGGTTCTTTTCTCGCTCAAATGTTAAGAATAAGACTATAATATATTCAGCAAGGTAGTGCGGCTAACATTTTCGGCACCATGTCACGAACTACGTTTTTTTAGATCTTCTACGTTTCTTAGATCTTTTTTGTTTAATAAATTTAATTAATTGGATTTTAGAAAAAAAAAACTCAAAATACTGCAAACAACTGATTTATTGGAAATAGTAAACCATAAAGTGCTTTTCTTGAAGATTATACTAACAAGGGCTCGTTCCTTGCAAGTACCACAAAAGAGGGTAATTTCTATTCTAATAACGGAACGCCATTTTTGCGGCGTATGTACCGACATGGCCTTGACCCTCGTAACTAACGTAAAATATGGGAACAAATTCATCCGACAAACTAAACTGGAAACCACTTTTCGAAACGACTGTCCTGACGTCATTCGGACAAATGTTAGATTGTACTAAAGTTAGTAGTAGCTAGTTCGGATTGTTCCTGAAGAGCAGCATCGCCGGAGCCGTCACACGTGGTCTGCGGCAAGTTGCACTCTGCGCAAGGCAGCATATCCTCCTCCAACAGGTACAGCTGCGTTCACAAATAAAGATTGAAGCATTTAGAGCAGTGTTTCCCAACGTGGGACCCATGCCCCACAGGGGGGCAATTCGATTGTTAAAGGGGGCAATTCGAAAATGGACCCGACACGGATTTAATCCTTTCGCTTCGCTGTAATCATTTTCGATGTAATCATTTCGATTTTTTCTTCATAAAGCCTATCATTTAAGTTAAGTGAACAAATCAATTATCTAATATTAAAAATTATGAATGTTACATAGGAGCGGGGGGGGGGGGGGGGAGCATTAGTTAATTTTAAGGCTAAGGAAGAGCATGGCACCTGAGAGCAAGCGCAAATCTCGATGTAAACTTTAAAAGTGGCAGAGAAGTATAAAGACGTAAGAAAGGAAAACTTTGAAGAACTTTGTAGTTCAATATTGTATTGTTAGTTATTTTATCTTGCTATGGTCAGTTATAGAAATGTAAGATTTAAGTAAGTAATCATGTTATACTATTTAAAAGTAGTATATTATTGAGGTATGGAGTTCATGACCCCACATGGTTTTTGGATGCAGTCCTCCCTGTCTTAAAGGTATTGTATATTGATGAAATTTTATGTATCGTTTTTTTTTTTAAACTTTTGGAAACTTGTTTAAGAACTTTGAATTGGATCACTCATCGTAAAGAAATTATTACGTGGTTCAGGGTTTTAGTTTAGCACATTTTACGGAGATGGCTGATGAAATTTTTTTGGTGCTATTTATTTTTTAATAACAACCACGTGGGCAAAAGTAAATATATTGGTCCAATCTTTCATGCGACGTCTGTACAATTTATTCGGCTCTTGCACAACTTTACTACTCGTCGAAGTTGTGACATCAAACACCAGCACTTTCACAATTCCGAATGGAACGGAGAAAGGTTTAAACAAATCATCCGCTGAACAAAAACAAAATAAAAACATATTACAACATTAAATTTGTGAACGATAATTAAAATAACAAGTTTAATAAGTTACAGACAGGTATATGTAAAGATCGCAAAAGTTCAATGACCGCAATAATAGGCGATGTTGTTTTCGTTTATAAAGTCCTAGTAGTGAGGAAAATGTAGATGTAAAGAAACTGTCTTTACATCTAAACTGAACAAATTTGGAAAATCTAGTTCTTTCATCCGATTTACAGGTTCGTTTTATCGAAATGAAAATATCGATATATCGATATTTTCTTTGTAGGCCCTGTTGTCCAAAAAAATGGTCTATCAAGTATAAATATTTGAATCTACGGACTCTGTGCCGTATTTGAATTTGAAAAACTATCGTTCATGATACAATTTCGACATTGAAAATTTATATCGATATAACGGATCTAAGCATATCGGCTAAAAAAAATCGATATATTTAATCAAAAATATCGATACATCGATACTTTTTCGACATCCCTACCTTGCCGTCGGTGCCGACGCCGTCGTAGCGGCGCGTGCGGGGCGCGGGGGCGACGGTGCGGGGGGCGCGCTGTCGACCGGCCGGCTGCAGTGTGTGCGCGCCACCGCACCACCGCCTCAGAGCCAGGCTGCACAACAAATTGAACCTTAGAGGGTACGACACAAAGATGCTTTTCGCTAGAACAGAAAGCCGACGCAACACTGGAGAAATAGAAGCGTCACTATTTGGCTACCTAAAATCGCGGACAGAGTTTGTAAAATTGTTAATGCTTATGAGAATGATCCATTGTGTAGCCGTAATGATTTGGCAGTGACTAATGCCAGAGCAGAAGACGGTTAGTGACTAACACAGGAAGTTTATATCTACGACTACATATACATGGGTAGCCTTCAACATGTTATGACGTACGGGCAAGTAACACGCCTGTTACAATTAGCATATTCAGGAATCAAAGCAACGAACAGACTGGCGCTTTTATCGAGTAGTGCCCTAAATAAGTTTAGGTCCCGATCCCTGACTCACCAGACGAGATTCAAAAGGCAAATACTACAAATCTCCTGTACATCGCGAGGATCTGTTTCCTCAGTCGATTCGGCGCGTTCATGCAACAGCAAAAGGTACTTCGTGTCTTTCAGTCATGTTGCTCGACCAGAAAACGATCGAAGGGATTTCTTGGAAGAAAAAAATATTTCATCGGTGCGCAAAGAACGAACGAGTTTTATCGTGAGATCGTAAATTCAGCTGAGCTCACGCGTCGTCGTCTGCCGTCTCCTGGGCGATGGTGGTCTTGCACGGCTGCGGGGCTGGCTCAACGGTGGGGGGGAGCGGCGCCGGTCGCGTAGGGGTCGGAGGGTGGAGGGGGCGCGCGGGGAGGGAGGCCGGCAGAGGGGGCGGCAGCGGCTCCACGCCCGGCTCCATCATGGCGGGGGCACCGCACGAGCCGCACACCGCCCCGCGGCTCAGATGCCGCATCAGCAACGCCGCCTGCGCAGAACGGCTTACGGCATAAACTTTACGCAACAAGTCAATCTTTAACCGACCCCAAAAGGAGGAGGTTTCCAATACGACTGTATTTTTTTTTCATGTTTTTTACCTCAGAACTTTTGATTGGGTGTACCGATTTTGATGATTCCTTATTTATTTGAAAGCTATTTGGAAACAAGTCCATTTTTATTAACGAAAAAGGACACCCGACCTCAAACATCTTGACTCGCTCTGTATTCGTTTTATAATGGATTTTCAGGAGTTCCGTACGTATGTCCGGTGACCAAGATCCAATACCAACTGAAATTAATATGGGACCACATGGGAAGGATCAGCTTTCAAATAAAAAAAAAGAATCATCAAGTTCGTTTCACTCAGTCGAAAGGTAAGATTTTTTTTTTATGCGAAAAGTTGTCAAACGAGCAGATGGTTCACCTGATGTTAAGTGAATACCTCCGGCCATGGACATCTGCCACACCCGAGGGTTACAGATGCGTTGACAACCTTTTGAAAATTGGGCTCCGGCCACCTCACTCACCAGACGAAACGCGAAAGTATTTGTCATACTTCCACTTTACGCCGGTCTTCGGTGAGGTCGTGGTACTCACCCGGACGGGCCTGCCCATTCGTGCAACAGCCGAGGCTGCTGCGTGGCCCTACCACCGTAATGGAGAGGTAATAAACATAAAAAAAATACAGTCGAATTGAGAACCTCCTACTTTTTTGAAGTCGGTTAAAAAAAGACAAAACACCCAGCGTATTTAAGCGACGAGATTTGATATTCATTACCAATGATTCGTATCCTAGTTGCAAACTGCGACAGACCGTGTTCCCAACTTCTGGGACTTATTAGGCTCGGCAACAACCTTGTATCATTAACTACATTATTAATACGTACCCGTCGCTGATTAACGACCCAAAGTCTTCTTCTTCTACCTGACATGAATCACGGCTATTTCCAGGGTCTGCCAATTAGTAAAGTAACAGCCTATACATGTCCCACTGCAGGGCAAAGGCCTCCTCTATATAGAGGGTATCAGGGCATAGTCCACCACGCGGCCCCACTGCGGATTGGTGGACTTCACATATTTTCGAAATATATATATTTTTTTTGTTATTATTTCGAAAATATGCAGCTTTACCGCGGAGCACGTGATAAGTCAGCACTTAAAGTTAAAAACTTCATCGGTGCCGGCACCGGGGATCGAACTCAGGTTGCTCGAGTATATATTGAATTAAAGGCGAGCGCCCGGACACTGAGCTATCACGGCTCATTAACGACCCCTTTATATCATTAGTTCGATACTCCTTAAAATTAGGTTACCCTAGACCATCGAATAAAAGTATACCGAAGAATAATTTCCGAATATAAAGAACAGCTAGTTTCCTTCGTTCGTACTATACGTTAATAGAAGACTCGAGAAAGACAAACTGCAAATCACGATCTGCACTTGTACTTCTCTGGCAAAGAAAGAAAGAAAATAAATTTATTTACCAGAAAATGGATGCACACAACAAAAACCAGATTTAACAAAAAAAAAAGAAGAAGAAATAAAACTTTCAGCAATACATACACAACATACAGTAAAACAAAACAAAATCCGCACTTAAATATAACTGCCGTAAAATAAAAGAGCGAAAAATTGATAAAATTTTAAGTACAAAAAAATATATATTGCCCTATCATCAGCAAATTAGGTTAGCGGCTCAGCATTATGTTTTTCCCGGAATTCAAAACACCAACCAGCGCTGATAATTAGAAATATGTATAACCCAACCGACGAAGACGATCACCAGGTCAAGGAGTCATCAGAGTCACCTTGGGATCGCCCAGCTGTGTCTCCACGCGCTGAAGGTGTCCGTGCAGCTGTCGCAGCTGCTCCTGCAGCCTGTCTCTTTCCGACGCCAGCTCTAGTTGGCCGACCTTCGTCTCTGTCATGTTCTTCAAGTCTTCCATGGCGCACTGGTACAACAATGTCATATTCATATTTAGATGTTACCTGAATGAGGGTGGATTGCGTTCATATCTAGATGTTACGCGAATGACGGATTTGAGACGGTTTATGGCAACAGTCAACGGTGTTATATATATATATATATATATATATATATATATATATATATATATATATATATATATAAATCCATCACTATTTCAAACAATTTTTGATCTATCCATCATCTTTCAGATCATTTACGGTGGTAGGGCCACGCAGCAGCCTCGGCTGTTGCACGAATGGGCAGGTTCGTCCGGGTAAGTAACACGACCTCACAGAAGACCGGCGTAAAGTGGAAGTATGACAAATACTTTCGCGTTTCGTCTGGTGAGTGAGGTAGCCGGAGCCCAATTTCCAAAAAGGTTGCCAATGCATCTGCAAACCGGGTGTAGCAGATGTTCATGGGCGGCGGTATTCACTTAACATCAGGTGATCCGTCTGCTCGTTTGGCAACTTTTCACATAAAAAAAATCGCGATTTTTATTTATTTGCGTGAATCCATTGTGTTGGCCTCTCACCATCCACGCCTTGTCCTGCTTCCTAAACTTCTGATGACAGTCTTCGAACATCTTATCCAGTTCTGCGCGGGCTTCAGCGAATTTCTCCTCGGTGAGCAACCCGGCCAACCGAGATATGTCCGCCTGTTCGTGTCTCCATTAGTCGAATATGTACATCATGCAGAATGGGAATAAGATTCACATTTGACTACAGGCTTTATTTAATTTACTAAACTATGTACACAATTTTGACAACCCGAATGGCGTAGTGGGTAGTGTACCTGCCGACTGTGCCAGAGGGTGTGGGTTTGATCCCTACTACTGGAGAAATAGTGTGTGATGAGCATAGTGTTTTTCTAGTGTCTGGGTGTTTATACATGTATAATGTGTATTTATTTACAAAAGAAAAGTATGTTTAAGTATGTCTATCAGTTTTCTAGTACCCATAGTACATAGTAGTTTGGGACTAGAGAACGTTGTGTAAAAAATGCGTCCTAAAATATTTATTATTATTTATTTATTTTATAATTTAAATGTGCTAGGGCCACGCAGCAGTTTCTACTCGCGAATGGGAAGTCCGTCCTGGGAAGTACCGAAGTGGGGCCGCGTGGTGGACTACGCCCTGATACCGTCTGTACAGAGGCCTTTGCCCCGCAGTGGGACATGTATAGGCTGATACTTTACTTTACGCATTTGTATCCGTACGGGTGGTGCAAATGTTCATGGGCTGCGGTTATCACTTAACATCAGGCGAAAGAAATGAGAATATTTTTATTGTCAAGATTTGCTTGAGAATTAGAAGAAATAATTTGAATTTCAAATAAACATTTACCTTTGTAAAATGGCTAAGAGAAAAATTTTTAAATAAAATAGTTTGTTGGGTCCCTCCGCGTGGAATTAATGAAACTCTCGTGCCACGCATTCACTCTCGCTCTGTCTCTTTCTATTCCCCCTCCCTAGGATCGTTTAACGTTTAACGCAACATTGCTTTCATACCCTCTCAATGATAGCGTTAAACACTTAACGCAACCTTGTTGTCGCATAAGAAGTTTCACTTCAATAATTAACTCATACAAACCAAAAAGTATCTAAATGTTTATTTGGCACGACGATAACGACACTAAGCCGATAAGGCTTAGCGACGATAAGCAGCATTTTAACTGTTACATCTAATCTTACTGTAAAACAGTAATCCTAAAAGTGCTGTACTGCTATTTCGGATTACTGTTACAGTAATCCTAAATTACGAACAATACAACTGTCAAGCAAGCTTTACCTTATCACGAAGCGCGTCCAAAACTTCGTCCCGATCCATTTTCTGGTCTCGTAACATCTCAACACTGTCAACTAAGCTCTAAAAAAACAAACACGTATGTTACTGGCCTTCTTATAAAAAAAATAAACTATTCTTTCTCTATATATATTATATAACCTTTCATTGAAATCTTTTAATAGCATTTTATCTTTAAACTACAAGGGAAAGCCATGTATACTAGATTATATTTCAGCAAAATTCCAATTATTTATTTAAAAACTTTTTTCAGATAAAACGTAAAATGGTGGACTTAACCATTAGGCGTTCTCTACCAGTCAAACGACAAATAAGTAGAGAAAGTAAGGAGGTGCGAAAGAGCCACATAAGAAGTAGTGAATAATATTATTTTATATAAAACTAGCGACCCGCCCCGGCTTTGCACGGGTGCATTATATTATACATATAAACCTTCCTCTTGAATCACTCAATTAGTCAAAAAACCTCATCAAGATCCTTTGCGTAGTTTTAACATCTAAGCATACATAGGGACAGACAGACAGCGGAACGACTTTGTTTTCAATATGTAGTGATATATAATAAATCAATGAAATTTTAATAGCATTTTATCTTCTTAAGGGTAAGCCACGTAAACTAGATTATATATATATATTTCAGCATAATTTTGCGCACCCATCCGGGGCGCCACCCAAACGCATACAGAAAAATTCATTCAAATCGATCCAGCCATCTAGCAGTAATTTCAGTGACAACACACGTACAGTAGAATTATATACATCAAGGTATTACATACAAATATACACGTATACTATAATTTTACCCGAAGTTCGTCAGTCAGCTTCCCTAGGACGCTGGAGGTCGCCTGGTGCGTGTTATTCACCATCTCCAGCTGCAAGATCAGCTCTCCGTAGCGGTCCTGCAGCTCTTTCAGAGCTGCAAATAGATGAAGAGACAGACAGTAAAAATAAAAAAAGTAAAGTAACAGCCTATACATGTCCCACTGCTGGGCAAAGGCCTCCTCTATACAGAGGGTATCAGGGCATAGTCCACCACGCGATTTGCGGACTTCACATATCTTCGAAAAATATTTTATTTTTGTTATTATTTCGAAAATATGCAGGTTTCCTCACGATGTTTTCCTTCACCGCGGAGCACGTGATAAGTCAGCACTTAAAGTTGAAAACTTCATTGGTGCCGGCACCGGGGATCGAACTCAGGTTGCTCGAGTATATATTGAAATAAAGGCGAGCGCCCGGACACTGAGCTATCACGGCTCCAGACAGTAATCAGCAATATTGTATTGCGGCGTTGCTCAAATTAGATTAACCTTCACTGATGTGCATTGGGAATGATTTCACAAAATATTCCTCTATCCTAGTTATAACCGACTCCGTGACGCAGTTGCCAAGGCCAGATAGACTTCTGCGTCGTGGGTCGTGGGTTCGATCCCCACACGGGACAACCATTTGTGTGACCCACAGATGGTTGTTTCGCATCTGGGTGTCTGTCCACGTGAAATTTATGTTTGTAAAACGTCCTTACAAAGCAAGATAATGTTATCCTAAAGTAAGGGCTACGTTTTATATTAAAAAGAAAAATAATTATTGTTGTTGCAATACAGTTATAAATATTGTGTTTCAAAAGTGTTTCCAGGTGTGACGATATTTGTATTTTTGGTACTGATTTTTTATTTACTATTTTTTACAATTTTTGATATCAAATTGTCTTATTAGAGCTAATGGGTCTAAATTAGACCTATTAGTGGATAGCATCGGTGCTTAAATATCAGACCCATGAATAGACGGTAGCCAGTTAATGATCCGTGGATAATAAAAGAAAAACAGGCATGAGTATAATTTTCCTAAAATACCTTTAGCTAGCCACAGACTAAAATAGAAACCTATACGGTCACCTTCATAAATTAGCTGTTATCGGTTAGCGATATCGGTTAACCCAAACTAATTAATCTAAAGGATAATTAATTAAAATTAAACGTCCGTTTCCATAAATCCATATTCCGATAACACTTTAAAGAGTATTCTGCGGGCTCTATGTCCGATAGCACTTTTAATAGTTCTAGAGAGTAATGTTTTTACTCTCTAGAACTCTTAAAGGAACTCTCAGAAGCTCATCCAACAGAGAAGACGAAGATAAAGAAGTAGACCTGTGGCCTCGGCGTTGTCGTTCACGCTGGCGAGCTGCTCCAGCCCGCACTTGAGGTCTGTGCGGATCTGGGTCATCTGCTCGCGGAAACCTTGCATCTGGAACAGGCGACGGAATTCAATAAGCCAGCGCCATGTTTGTTTCAGCGGAATAACGCTCTCGGCCTGTTGATATGCAGAAGCTACTGGTAATACTCTGGTGTGGATCAAATGCTGGCATAGTTTTAGTGTATTATAATTTAAATCGATGACCCATTTTTAATTTATACGAGTTCTATAAAACATTATTGGTAGTAGTGAGGACACGTATTTTGCCATAAACAAAATTAACGAATATTGAATCCTCAGTACAGAAACGATAATATTTATACATATTTATACCTGTATACATTGTATTAGTATGTCATATAAATGTTATAGTGTGAATGATGTAACTAGGAAAAAAATAATATTTTTCACAATAATTGAAGAGAGTTTATCAGTGTAGAGAATAATAACTCTTCAATAAACACAAAATAAAAAGATAAAAGTTTAGATTGCATCGCTCAATTTTTTTTTTGTGAATAATAATGATCGCCAAACGACTCAGATTGTGGAGTCGCTTGGGCAAGGTTTTTGAATATGTATATATATATATATATATATATATATATATATATATATATATATATATATAAATCCATCACTATTTCAAACAATTTTTGATCTATCCATCATCTTTCAGATCATTTACGGTGGTAGGGCCACGCAGCAGTCTCGGCTGTTGCACGAATGGGCAGCATCGTCCAGGTAAGTACCACGACCTCACAGCTTAAAGTGCAAGTATAATACTTTCGTCTGGTGAGTGAGGTGGCCGGAGCCCAATTTTCAAGTCGTCAATGCATCTGCAACCCTCGGGTTTAGCAGATGTCCATGGGCGGCGGTATTCACTTAACATCAGGTGAACCGTCTGCTCGCTTGGCAACTTTTCGAATTAAAAAAAAATTTTTTCAACGAAGCCCTCCGTACCTGAGTCGTGAGCCCGACATCGAGCCCGTTTAGCTGCACAGCGTAGTCTGACACCAGCGACTGCATTTCGTTCATTCGGCCATCGAGCTGGAGAGCAACTTGTATTTTCTCCGCTATAATCATATGAAGTACAAATATATACATTTTACTGGACAAGTTCGCATAAGGGAGGACGCTCGCCTGGTGCTAAATGATTACCGCCGCGTTGAAATCTCTCTGGAAAGTGTGCCTCGGTTACCTCACTCACTTTGCACCGTAATGCCGTGGACTCCGAAACGAGCCGCAAAAATACTTTTGCCATTATATACCTCACATATAATTAGAAATAAGGACAAACTAACTACGCCATTATTTCGCCTACAAAAAGTAAACAGATCGTTCATGGGGCAAAGTGTGCGCATGTATAATAAAATCCCACAGTCGATGTTAAATCTGCCACTTGATGAATTTAAACGAAAAATTAAAAGTACACTTATGGCTAAAGCCTATTATACTATTGCCGAATATCTTGACGACGCCAATGTGTGGGGTTAATACTGTTGATACTCACGTAGGCTAGAACAAGACTATTGTACCTGTACTATTATATTGTAAACTGATTTTTTAAAAAAGAGCAACTGTTGAATTTCTTGCCGGCTTTTTCTCAACAGAAACTGCTTTCCGAACCGGTGGTAACTTACAAACGTGTTAATTTCTTGTAAAATTTTGACGTTTCATAAGAACGCGCAAGCGTCTATGTGAATAAGGATATTTTATTATTATTATTGGGGGGATATTCATTTGTTTTCTCGTCTGGTTGGGTTTATAAATAAAAATAAAAATAAAGATATAGATATATATTGCATATATAAAATAAATATTATGGATAAAAATAAACATATATATATATATATATATATATATATATATATATATAATATTTTATATAATACATATATAAATAGGACCCAACCAGACGGAAGCCCTCGGCAGGGGGAGACCAAACGGCCGAGGGTTAGGGCGAAAGGGAGAGAAACCGGCGGACGATGCGGGCGGTATCGAGGAGCACCGCCTTCTGCATTTGAGCCTGGAGCGATCCGTCCCGGAGTCCCAGTCGCCTCAGATGTTTAGAGAGGCTGACTGGGATCAACCCATTCGCAGACACGACTATCGGGATAATTTCGGTCGGCACACCACCCCACATGTCGGTCACCTCGTGAGCCAGGTCCAGATACTTCGTCTTCTTATCTGTTTCGGCTTTCACGAGGTTCTCGTCATATGGAATGGTAATGTCGACCAAAAATACCCGCGACTGTGCCCGGTCCATCAACACGATATCAGGTTTGTTCGCGACAATTGTCCTGTCCGTGATGATGGACCGGTCCCAATAGAGCCTGGCGCGGTCATTTTCGAGCACGGCCTCCGGAGAGTACTTATAATACGGCAGTTTCCGTTCCACGAGGCCGTATTTCAGAGCGAGCTCCTGGTGTAGGATTCTGGCTACTAGGTTGTGTCTATGCAGATACTCAGAGTTAGAAAGCATAGAACAACCGGAGATAACATGCCGAAGCGACTCCCCGGGACGGCGACAAGCTCGACAGATGTCGACGGTGCCATCCTTTAGGATGTATCTCCTATAGTTGTTCGTCTTAATAACCTGATCCTGTATCGCACAGACAAAACCTTCGGTTTCCCCAAAGAGGTCACCGAAACGTAGCCAGTTCAGGGAGGCAACAGTATCTACGAAAGGCTCGTGTAGAGCCTTGTAGAACCTCCCGTGGAGCTCTTTCTCCTTCCATACAGCCTCTCGGTCGGAAACGCTCAGTACTCCCGGGTCCTGCCATTGCTCGTTGGCTAAGGATAGAGGGGTAAGTCCTTTATCACAACTAATGACGTCCGTGTAGATTGACTCATCCGATCTCGCCAGAAAGTAGTTACGGAGGCTGCACACCTCGCGATTGTGCATGGTGAGGGCGCTTAAAAAGCCCCTCCCGCCATGCTTCCGCGGAAGGTACAGCCTCATCACTGACGATCTCGGATGATGCATTCTGTGGGACGTCATAGTTGTGCGGACTTTTCGGTCCAGGGCGTTAAGCTCAGTTTGAGTCCACCTGAGTATGCCAAAGGTATACATGAGGATTATATATTATTATTACGATGACTCTCGTCTATCAAAACGGAGGAGGTTCTCAATTCGACTGTATTTTTTTTATGTTCGTTACCTCAGAAAATTCTACTGAATAAGCCGATTTTGATGATTCTTTTTTTATTTGAAAGCTGGTGCTTCCCACGTGGTCTCATATCAATTTCATTGGCATTGGAACTCGGGCTCCGGTGATACGTACGGAACTCCTGAAAATCAATTATAAAATGAATACAGGGCGAGATATTTAAAGTCGGTTTTGTTTTTCGTTAAAAAAAAATACTTGTATACTATTTGTGTACTGTCATACGCCACACAATATTTTTGCACTAAATTCAAACCAAATAGGCATCCTATGGATGCATGAATTTAAGACTTTGTGCGCTTGAAACAAGTAAGAGTTTACAAAAGCGGCTCCGAATGTACTAAGCTTAATTCCAAGCTTATTGACCCCGTGGCGCATGGCCAAGGTATCGGCTTCGGCGCCTGCGGTCGTGGGTTCGGTTCCCACACAAGACAACTATTTGTGTGACCCACAGATAATTGTTTCGGAATATGGTGTTTGCCCGCGTGAAATTAATTTATGTAAAACTGCCTTAAAACACAGGATAATGCTATCCTACAGTAACGAGCAATGTTTTCGAAGGGAAGACTACTCTAGATCTTCAAGGGCGCAGTGTTCGTTGGGACTTACTAGCCAATCCCTTCCATTTTGTATGCAAGGGATTGGCTAAGTCGTGTTTTCAAAGTGAAGAACTAACAGACGAAATTGGTGGTGTGGCTTGCCGCCTCCGCTGCGTGGCTCGCCTTGTTGGTCAACTGCTGTATGTTCCGAGTCAAGTCCATCTTAAGAGCTTGCAGAGTGTCACTGTACAAGCATGATTGTATTAGGCCAAATAGAGTACAACATTGTAAGCCATTTAGGCCGCTCGCACGCAAAACGGGGTGGTTCGCAAAAACTATAAATTGTTAAGGAATAAAATTCTAAGCACATAAAATTCAAGGTAGTTCGTTCGGATTTACGGCGACACTCTACACGAATTGCAGTTTTAAGCAATGGACACAAGTGATAACTTATTAAAATTTGTAGCAAAAATTACACGAAAAGTTCAACCGAAAAGTTCAAACGAAAAGTTCAGCGGGAATCGAACCCACGTCCTCCGGATGAGCTAGGGGTTTACCATTCGACGGTAGGGGCGACAAGATTTACGTAATGGTGGCTATCCCGAACGGTCAAGCAAAGCGGTGATTTTCCTTTTAACCTTTGATACAACATATTTGTGAGAAAGAGTACAGTGTGAGAGTGGGTTTCCACCTGGTCATGGAAAAACGAAATATAGAAATCAACTTAATACCGAGTCAGAGGTTAAAATTGTCTAAAATTAGTGCTAAAATTCGCGACAAGAAACAGCCCATCCATCACATCAATATTAAAAAGTTATTTCTTTTGACGCTGTATTTGTTAGCTTTTATTAAAATAAAAACCTTACTTTCTCAATAGTCAATTTCATTATTTTCTTTTGGGGGGATTTAATTAGATAGTTCAGGGGTTCGCTATCGTCTAGAAACTTTCGGGTTCGCCTACGATACGTAAAGCCGTTCACAGCTACAAACAATCGTTCTATAATAGACTAGTTTCTTGTATGGATCCAGCTTGGTACTTTATGCAAATTAGTTGTAATTGGGATTTGAGATTGAGACACTGGATCAATGTGACAATAGATGGTTGACTCACTCAAGGTAGGGCCGCGTGACCAAGGCTGTGGGGTCGTGCTCAATCGCCGGTTGACCTCGACCCTGGACGCTCGCCGATCTGTTCACCGACGACGAACGTGACCGCGGAGTACTCTCGTAAATAGAAAATTGGTCCATCCCTTTTGGAAGCATCTGGTCAAAGTGCAGAAATTTTTTGCAAACATATTTCAAGATTTTCATCATCATTGCAATAGTGTTCGCTGTCGCACGAATGAGCAGGTCCGTCCGGGTACGTACCACGACCTCACAGAAGACTGGCGTAAATTGGAAGTGTTATACTTTTGCGTTTCGTCTGCTGAGCGAGGTAGCCGGGGCCATAAAAGGTGGGGGGTTATTAAAAGGTGACAGCGCATCTGCAACCCCACGGGTGTTGCAAATTTCCATGGGCGGCGGTAAGCAGTTAAAGTCAGGTGAACCGCCAGCTCGTTACGCCACTTTATCGGATAAAAAAAACATCCTCCGGCTCTTATCCCACCAAGGTGGATTCGGCAAAACATGTAAATCATGTTGTAAACGGTTTTGGCTAAGTTTTTTACGACCGGTCGCCTGCCTGACGTCAACCCTCCTTGGGAAGAAACACTCAGATCCGCAACAAGTATCTATGTCTCACAAGTACTCGTCCCGTGTGGGAATCGAACCCACAACCCCCAACGCCGAACCAATAGCTAGCAACGAGTCATCAATATATTCGATAATTTATTTATTTTTTATTTAAAAATATACTTGAAAATTGTATGGTGCCTTATATCAATTTTAAGTTCCTGACATTTGTGGCGAATATTTCGAGCTTCTTTTCTAATATACAAGAAATATATAAAAGAAATGAATGTTATATTTTCAGTAATGGACCATAGACGAAATGGAATAAAGCTTATATCTACAACACCGAACGACCTAGCTTTGCAAAATGGGACCTAGGTGAGCATGAAGTATGGAAGGCGTTGCATTTCATAAACAGCCAGCAGAGCCATGATTAGATAAAACAAAAATCCCGAAAAAACCTTCCAGCACTCTCAACTAAGGACTGTGCGTCAAATACTTTGGTATACATAATCGCAATGACTGCAATCTCACTCTCTCCGACTCTTCGCCGTGTGGGAGCTCCAGCTTGGCCTTCCTCAGCTCTTGTGCTAGTTCCTCGGGCATCGCGCCGGCGGCCGCCAGCTGAGTGAGTAGACCCGCCATCCTCCCGATAGCCTGTTCGGCGGCCTGCACTCGTGCATTCACCTTCAATCATACAGCACCAATGATGCGGCGCGGTCGTGAATTCACTAAATTATATAATTGAAAACAAAAATAAGACCACAGAGTTTCATGCCGGTTCTCTGGAGAGGTCTAGTTTAGTGAACCGGTTGCAGTTTTATGCGTTCAATAAGAGCTTAAAATAAGCCTGTATTGAATAAAGAAATTTTGACACTGAACTATATTTTGTGAAATAAACAAAAGAAAAAATAAGTTCACGGAACCAAGGTCTTAAGCGAAGCACGCATGTCCTGGTGTCAATGACAGTGAGGCAAGTGTTCGGGCAACACGGTGTGATCTCGTGTTGCCGCTGAGCAGTTTCTAGAAGTGATCTTGCTTCCTATCCAGTCGCCCATTACGCTAGCCAATACCTACTGCTCTAAAGAACCGACTACAGCAGCAAGGCCAGGCAACAACTACGACTGTTGCACGAATGGCCAGATCCGTCCGGTTAAGTACCACCTGACAGAAGACCGGCGTGAAGTAGAAGTGACATAATTCTGCGATTCGTCTGGTGAGGTAGTTGGGGTCCACGTTAGTAAAAGGTGGCAACGCATCTGAGGTTTCAACACTACAGGTGTTGCAAATGTCCATAGGTGGCGGTTATCACTTAACATCATGTGAACCGCCAGCTTGCTTGCCACTTACACGCGTAAAAAAATAACTACAACTAAAAAGTAATTAGACAGTACACTACACTAAAACACAGCCAGCTACACAGTATCAGTACAGAACCTAATGTGTCATTAGCCAGTACCTACCTATAGAATACAGCTAGCTACACAGTAGTTGGCCACTACAGAACCTAATGAGGTATTAGCCAGTGTAGAATACAGTCAGCACAGCACATACAGCCAATACAGTTGGCTGCGTATAAAAAACCTGCATAGCCTGCATCGCTTCTGTGAGGGTCACGTTGCCCTTGAGAAGGTCGTCCTTCAGCTGTTCGTTGTCTGGCAGCGTGAGGTCGGCGGAGAGGCCGGCAGTCCCCGCGAGCCGCTTCACCTCATTCTCCAGCAGCTCGAACTGGGACTGAGTCACCACCTCTACGCTGCCAACGCGTGGGCGACCTAAAACCAATGGCGAAATAAGTAGAATAAATCATCATCATCCTCCTGCCCTTATCCCACCCAGGTGGGGATGGCACAGCATTTGAATCATGTTATAAGCGGTTTTGGCTATTTTACGGTATATAAATAATAAATAAATACATATTTTGGGACACATTAACACAACGTTCTCTAGTCTAAGCCACGCTCGTACAATGGGTACTATATAACTGATAAACATACTTATCCATACTCTTCTTTTGTAAATAAATACATTTATAAACACGCCGCACACACTGGAAAAACACTATGTTCAACATGCAATATTTTTCCAGTAGTTGGGACCGAACCCACACCCTGACGCAAGCAGTAAATTCAATACCTTTTACTGTGGGAGGGCTACGTAAATAAGTATACTACAGAAGTACCATGAGCTCGCAGGATACCGGTGTGAAGAGCTAGTATTATACTTTTACGTTTCGTCTGGTGAGTGAGATAAAAGGGCTCACTTTTTCAAAGGTTGGCAACCTATGTGCAACCTATTAGATGTTGAAGATATCCATGGGCGGTGGTAACCACTTAACATCAGGTAAACAGCCTGGTCGCTTGCCAACTAAACAAATATAAAAAAGTAAAAATCAGGAAAACATTCACAACACTTTATCTATAACAACTGTTTCGTGCAACGATAATTATGTGATACAGCTTTTAACTGTTCATGTAGGTAAACGAATATGCTATGAATCGACCAAAAAGGATTTATAATTTACATACCACTGCTTGCGGGTCCTTTATCCACTAAAATGAAAAAAGTTAAATATAATGAGTTACGTAATAGTTTTACGAGTTAATGTTAGAAAACATGTATGAACATTTCATTAAAGTCGAAAAACTGGCTTCTAGCAATTAGTATGTTTCAGAATGACATATAAGGAATATTGATATAAACTCAAAAGTTTATTATCTAAAGACACTAATACGATCAACGCCACAATATTGTTAAGCGATAGATTTCTTTTATAAACCTGTTATGTCCGATTGGATATTTTAGCAATACCGGCTAGATTTTTTAAAGATTAAAATTAAATCCTCATAATGTGAATTATTGTACGAGCAATTCTAATTGAATAGAAAAGTACACACTAATCGAGAAATAAATTTTATTTATCGGGCTATCACCTGCTACAACGCAATGGCCGTACTATATTTATATCTAGATATTAATAACGGATAACATTAAGAATATAGAAATTTTTTTCTGTGTCTTAAAATATGTGAATATTGAAAAGCCCCAGACCTTTAAAAGATATTTAGTATCAAATAATAAAAATAGAAAGGAATGATAAAGAACTAAATAAATACAGCTACCAGTATTTAACATCGAAACCGAATATACCAATGTAAATTATACAAATGCTAAAACCTCATAACTAAAGTAACAACACTTACCTACAAGCACTTTAGATTTGTCTCGATCCACCACTGAACATGAAAAGAATTAAAAGTTAGGCATTGTATTTTTAAGCTACATCTAAATTTAGTTTTGCATTAAAAAATTACCATCAATAGTGATACTTGATTCCGACGCTAGACTCTTTTCATGTTGGGCTTTCTGTAAGAATACTACTTATAAAAAATCAGACATTAGATAAACTAGGTCTTAGTTTATCATTGAACTTTTAGAAATGTAAATTCTGAGAAACTATCTAGAAAGTCCTCTCGAAGCGGGAGGTCAAGTGAGATTTTGTTGAGCAGTTTAACACATTGAATTAATCATCGTTCAAGTCAAGATAAGTAATGTCTATGTAAATATAAATTTTGATAAATGCACCTTCTCCTTTCCTAGCTGCTTCTTTCCTTTCTTCGGACTATGTTGTCTTTTGACCGCTTTCGCTGATTCTTTACCTCTTTTACTTTGTCCCTGCTGTGTTCCCGAGGGTACACCCTCGTCAAACATCTCAGATTCTAACAAATCCGGTTCAGACAAACTGGCTTTATCCTTTCTTGAGTGCAGATCGTCCTTTTTGTCAGCCCTTTCTTCTTTCCGGTCCTTTTGCTTTGTATATTTTTCCTCTCCGCCCTTTTCCGCGGCTTTTATCTCTCTCTTAACTGAGGCGAATCCGGATGCCTCTCGTTGAAACTTAGGTACATCTTTAAACCTTATCTCCACTTGCTGCTCGAGCATACGCAACTGTCGCGCCAATATGTGTAATACCAATTGGATGCTTTTAAAATCTACAATATTCATCTGAAACATGTTTTTTTTATGAGCAAAGTGAAAAAGGAGCTGGACTTTTGCAACACCCGTATGGTTGCAAATGCTTTAAATAAAGTGGGCACCGGCTACCACACTCACCAGACGAAACGCAGAAGTGTAACACTTCTACTTTACGCCGGTCTTCTGTGAGGTTGTGGTAATTTTTTTTATTGTTAAGAGTTGCCAAGCGAGCAGACGGTTCACCTGATGTTAAGTGAATACAGCTGCCGATGGACATCTGCTACAGCCGAGGGTCCCAGATGCGTTGACAACCTTTTGAAAATTAGTCTCCGGCCACCTCACTCACCAGATGAAACCGCGAAAATATTATACTTCCACTTTATGCCGGTCTTCTGTGAGGTCGTGATAATTACCCAGACGGACCTGCCCATTCGTGCAACAGTGAAACCTGTTGCGTGGACCTCCCACAGTTACTTTGGAATTAAATAAATATATTAAATATAAATAGAAAGATCAAGACCACGTAAATCAATTAATGTATATCGTGATACAAGTGTCCAAGGTTTTAATCCCAGCTATGGCATTTTTACTAAACACTATCTCTATCTCCCTCTCTTGCATATAGATATCTCAAGATAGTCGTATCTTCCTGAGTTGTGAGGCAAGACCGAATTTTCCCCACAGAAACAACATAACAACGTTATGGCAAAAGCAAAATATCGCTGATATTATTAATATATCTTGCTAATAATTACTAATTACATTATAATGTATAATAAAGGTTTTTCAAGAATTTTTTTAGGCGCAACAATAAGTTATGGACGTAATTCTTTTTAATTTTGATGTATGCGGACTCCATGTACCAAATATTTCTATAGCCGATGGCAGAATTACATCATACATACAGGCTCATATTTACGCCTTTTGCTTACTTTCGCTGCCTATGATAATTAGAAGAGAGGCTACTAGTGTTACGCAAGTAGCATCCCAAATTAGGGCTTTGCCTCTCTCTCGAGGGATAAAAATAAAGCCGTCGTCATCCATTACCAAAGTAAATAAACAGCCTATATATGTACCAGTGCTCGGCAAAGGCCTCCTCTGTACAGAGGGTATTAGTGACCCCACTGCCGATTGGCGGACTTCACGTATCTTTGAAATACTTTTTTGTTAACACTAATTTTATTTTATGATTTTATTTACAGTAGTTTAAAATGAAACCGACATAGAATTGATCGCCGAGCCGAAATTTAAAGTCAAGTACCAGTGTACTTAACTTACTTCGTCCGGTCCCATCGCCATGTATATTAGATCTTCCACCTTCACAAGTAGGGCGCTATCGCTCATGTTGGGTTCGTCGAACTTTGAACGACGCATTTTTAATATATCAAAGTAGGTATAACAATAACTATTATTCAACTATATAGTTACGGTAATAATTAAAAACTCTATCAAAACACTTCCAATGAATATAAAATTTTGTCCGTCACTTGAATTTCTGTCGTTCTGACATAAAAAAAAGTTGTTATTCAAAAATATTTAGCACGAAGGCAAATCCTCTGAGGAAGGTTTAAGGTTTTAATTTAAATCGTGTTGCATTATTTAATAATTACTTTACTTCACACGAATTCACAGCTTTGCAAATATTGGATAACAGCATCCACAGGGGTAGCCATATTTTACTATCCCCGTGGTTCAAGAAGAAAAAACAAGAAATATGTGTATAAAATGACACTAATATTGAAAATTGTGGTCATCTTAGAAAGGAATAATACAGAGTAAAATTAAAAAACCGGCCAAGTGCGAGTCAGACACGCGCACGATGTGTTCCGTATTGTCTATAATATACGGAACCATTCGTGAACATATCATGTCTGTTGTATGGGAGCCCCACTTTTTATTCTGTATTTGTTGTTTTAACAGCGACAGAAATACAGTCTTAGTAATAGGGGCCCGTTTTACCCATTGATTACCTAAATAAATTCGTGCCAATGTAGTAATTATATCTTGCTGTAATAAATTGAATATTGCGAAAAAGTCGTACACGGAATCTGGCCAAAAAAGTAGTACGTGAATGTATCACACGCGTCTGAATATAAGGTTTTTATTAACTATTATGGGTATAATTTATCAACTAACGGTCAGTTTGTACATTCTATCTACAGATAGATTTGCTTACCGGTGATAGAATTTTGACATAAGTATTATGGAGCTAATGTCAAACAGCTATCGCTATTAACCAAATCTATCGGTAGATTGAATATTGAAACCGGCCGTTAACGTGTCGAAGTGGGTTTTCCATTCATTATACTGGAGTAGATTACAAGTCCCAAGAATCTGAACGGCAGATGATATATTTGTTGCATATAACTATATTTTTTTTTTGGTACGCCTGGATAAATTCGAACTAGACTAATCTTTCTAAAAACAATATCAATATCTCCTACGTCTTAAGCTTTTTATAAGCCACAGAGGTAAACCAAAAATCGTAGTTTTCCACGGGAAAACACTCCTTCGTGCTACACATTTCATATATCCTTAAATAAAAGATTTTAAGTCAAATAATGGCGCTAATTTTAAATTGATCACCCCGTATTCTACTCGTTTTGGTCACTTTTACCAAAGTGGACTAAAAGTCATAATATAATAAGTGTACCACCATACATAATTTTGGTCCTTCGAGCCGGATGTACCGACATGCAACATTAATCATTTTGTAATGATTTGATTCGTATCCTACACCATCAGCTGTTAGACGTTTTGTTAATTTTATTTAAATAATTTTAACGTAATGTTTCTTACATGTATATTTAATGTTGCAAGAGACGGTTGGCGAGCAATCTGTCATCAAATAAACCAACGAGTGTTTTAAAGACATACCACTACAAAACCGCGATGTTACCAAACTCCACACGATCCGAATGCAATCTAGCCTACAGTAGAATCCGCTTATTATGACTCCGCCTATATTGACCAACCGTTTAATATGACGTTATTACACTACGAAGTTTGGTTTTCATATAAAATTCTTTATAAAAAAGTTGGATTTATAATGAATTCTCTTACAGTGACATGTTGCTTATTGTGACCCATTTTTAATAAATTATGTCCGGTTATAATGACCGACATGGTTCTTTACACCTTCGGTAATGTTCGTTGATTCCCGACGTTCGGCCAGTGGCTCATTTTTGTTTTGAATCTGTGAGTAATTGACACTTAATAAAGGTCACGGATTGTTTTTCGTTTGTCGTTTGTATTTCATTGTATGTATGCACTGTGAAAAAAAATGTCATATAAACGCCGTAAAGAATTTACGATTGAGGAGAAAGGTGCAATAATATGCAGATTAGAAAATGGAGAATCAAACTCATCTCTCGCTGCAGAACTATCTCGATTTGTTCGTAGCAATATTGAAAATGATAATTTGACCATGGCGATGTTTTCTGTACACAATAGTATTAGGGATTGTTTTTACAATAAAAGGAAAAAACAAAAACAGTCAAAAATTACAGATTACCTACATTAAAAATATGTATGTACTGCATTACGTGCAATTGTTATTTTGATTTAATATGTATGTATACATAATGTTTCTCTATTAAAATATTTAAGTACATATAAAAAAGTTTTTTTTTTTTCACAAAACGGTTCGTATGACGTCCGCTTATTATGACGTGTTTTTCAATTCCTTTCGATGTCATAATAAACGGATTCTACTGTATTTAGAACGGTTGCCAAATGAAACATCATCATTATTTAACATAATATTTATTATTTATATTTATAATAATAACTCGCCGCCACGGACGGGCGACCGATAAACAGCGAGACGATGATTAAAACGTGGTTAACTTTTCATAATTCACGATCGCCCAACAGCGCCACTAATACTGAACGCATTGCAGGTTAAACCGTTAAAAACCGTTAGGCGTGTCACAAATTCAAAACTACTTCCTAAACAACACCGTGGAATGCAAGTAGTCGGCGCACGATAAACACACAGATTGACGAACAGATTTGCGATTGCATAAATATTTTAATTTCAATACAGATAGAATAATCACATTAAATAACAACTAACTGCGCCAACGCTTCTGTATTATTTACAATGGATGCGGCGCGGGGTCGGTCGACGGTTAAAATTCGCTACGTGCCGAGTGAATTAATCAAACTTGAACAATTCATGAAAATTACTATCGATTTAAATATTATAACGCATGCAACAATTTATCGAGACAACACTTCTGTGGAATAAATACTGCTAAACGACAATCGATACAATTTGCGTAGTTAATTTTAAACGTCGACCGATCAAGTACATTATATAGACCTGTTAGGTATGCGGAATAACATCGATAGTCCCTACGAAGAATACACTGGATGTAGATCGACCTTTAGTACGTGACGTAGCGCTAGGGAAGTGAAGCTCCTATCGATAAGCGTTTCGTTGAGGGTATCGATGTCGATGGCGGGTGAACGCACTACACTACGTCGATTGCGGGAGGCAATTAGTCCTCCAGGTTGCGGAAGGCGGCTGACATATCTTCCAGCAGTTGCTCAAAGTCCGCCTTGATCTTCGCTTCGCCATCCTTCACGGGGTCCTGTGGAGCAAATATATCATCGCATATAGTATTTCTCAAACATGTATTTTTATTGATACCTCAATTTTTATCTGAGACTATGTATCCGATGAGTCCCTGGTGCTCGGTTAGGTTAAACTATTAACCATTTTTTATTAAAGAAAAACAAAACCGACTTCAAATATCTCGCTCTGTATTCATTTTATAATTGATTTTTGAAGAGTTCCCAAGTCCTCTGGAGCGCAAGACTCAATATCAATGAAATTGGGAAAAAATAAAGAAAAGAATCAAAATTGGTTCGGAGTAAGTTCTGAGGTAAGAAACATAAAAAAATAATACAGTCAAACTGAGGACCTCCTCCTTTTTTGAAGTCGGTTGAAAAGATTAGGCGGTTACACAAGTCACTGATATATATTTATTTTACAATACTTGCTAGTGTATAATTTTTTTTTAATTTATCAAGCTCACCTGCAGATGCGACAATAAAACTTTCTTAGGTCATCAATACACTAATCTTAATGCTTAAAACTAAATTAAATTAACTAAAATAAATTGCACATCCAAATTACAAACAAACACAACATTGATGGATTCACATATTTGTTTACAATCAATAGTTGTTCACCCATGCAACAAGGTCCCCGATCGAACTGTCACCAAATCAAGTCAGAGTTGGTCCGCTGTGGGGTCTCGGTACTCCCCCGGCCTAGTCCACCCAATCGTGGCACAGCGAGAAGGAAAAAAATCAGAGCGCGGTGAGTACCTTGAACTTCATGGAGGAGAGCTGGTATAGCACGTTGCCCATGGCGTCCCTGATCACGTTCCACGTGACCTTGTTGTCCGACTGCGCCGTGGACTCCACCGCGTGCCGGGACATGTCGTAGAACGTGATCATGTTCTTCAGCATGCCCACCGTCTTGTAGAACGGGCAGAAACGGTCGTACGACGAGTAGCTGCGAACAGTCGGACGGTGGGCGTTTTAAACGTGGCTTACGAAATCTGACAGCGGCGAAAGTCTTCGACAATTATCCATCTTACTTTTTCATTTTTCATTTTAAGTGCAGAGACTCCGTGGCGCAGTTGCCTAGGTATTGGCTCCGGCGTCGGGGGTCATCGGTTCGATTCCCGCACGGGACAACTGTTTGTGTGACCGACAGATGGTTGTTTCGCATCTGGGTTTGTCCGCGTGAAATTTATGTTTGTAAAACGTCCTTACAACACAAAAATACGCTATCCTAAAGGAAGGGCAATGTTTTTCAAAAAAAAAAGAGGAATAAAAAAGTGAATATCACTAACAGTTGAAGACTAAGTAACAAAAAAACATAAGAGACTTCAAATATCTTACTCGCTATACATTCACTGATGATACAAGTATTATTTTGTGAGATGGTAGTCAAAACTGGCTGGTTTTTAGATAGTAAATGCATCTCATTCATGATTATGATTTGTGTGGAGGTGGTTTGGTAGTGAGTCTCAACGACCACTGCAACTTAATAAATGATCTATTGTGGTAAAATTCATAGTCTGAACGGCATATGGGCTAGACACTGCAAAAAATTAAATGGCATAGGTGGAGATACATGAATAAAGATATCGCTTATATCATAACATGACCTATATGTAGAAATAATTCCCTTAGCCGTAATTTTGAACATTTTTTAATGAGGCCCAATGTTAAAGTTCACATCCGACATGAAACCTACATTTCTTACAAGTGATATATTAATGTATTACAGTCAGGTCAGGGTTAAGTTTATTAATTCTTCTAATACTTGAGAGTAAAGGTGCTAACTAGCACTAAAACAGATTGTGTTAACTTACACAAGTATATTCAAACTACATTTTCCAACAAACACTTGCAAAACAAAAGTTTTAAAACGATATTCGAAATTGTTTGTATACTGGAAAGGATATAACAATGGATGCGCCAAGCATTGCTTCAAATGCTAAAAAACAATGTAGATAAAAGACGTTAAGATTTTCGTCGGTGAGGCAATCAGCCGTCTAGCTTAGTGGTTAAAGCGTCAGGCCGCGAATGCCGAAGACGTGGGTTCAATGCCCACAGCGGCGACAATCTTTTCGTACTTTTTCTACATATTGTAAACTTGCAAAACAATTAAATCCCTACAACTTTACACAGTGGGATATCTTTCACAAAACGGCGCTTCTATGCCTGAGTGATAAATATGATATTTGGATAGTTTCTAGATTCTGGTCCACATTCCCAATTATATTCCTATCGAAATAAAATAAATGTAATACAAAATAATGATACTAATACAATCAAACGACGATAAATAGTAATAAATTATTACAATTTGGTGGTCTAAAAGAGAGAAAGAAGTCTCTATTGAAGAAAAAACAGTTTCTGTCTTCCAACCAGTTTTGTACGAGACTGGTCTCTGGAACTTTGTTTACTGCCCATTGTATACAACCGTTTGGAATACTATATGTCCACTAACCTGTTCTGTTGCAAGAAGTCATCTTTGAGCAGCTTGGCGACCTCAAGGGTGATTTTGTCTGTCTCGGCCAAGGAGGCTTTACCGACCAGCTGCACAATTTCAGTCAGATCCTCTTCCTCTTGGAGGATCTCCTTTACCTGAATTTTAACAATTTGTGAGAAATAAAATAAAATTAAATGGGATGAGCAGAGACATATAATATCCAAATTAAATTCAGGTATAGCTCATTTAAGAAGGGTGTTTAGACATTGTTACAATACTGGAATAAGACTGTTATTAAAAGATAAAAAGTATAAGAAAATTATTTGACACTAATGGATAGTTAGAGATATCGTTTAATTTTAATCACTCTTAAGAAACTTACCTTAGTCCTGAGGGGCACGAATTCTGGGTAGTTCTTCTCATAGAAGTCATCCAGAGCGCGCATGTACTTGCTAAATGGAAGATAAAATTATTTTTGTTAAATATAGAACTAAAATTAATAATACTACCATAAAATAAAAGTCGCTATACACTTATATCATATGTAAAGCAACTGGGTAAAAAATATTATATATTAAAGATCATTTTTCACTTCTTTCATTGGTGTCGTCGCTTCGCATGATTGTAAATTTTTTTAAGTAAGGATAATTTAGAAGATTTTATCAGTATGCACTCATTTTACTAGTTCTTTCTTATGCAACAGAGAGTTCCAATCATGTTTGAGCTTATCACAGTCATGATTCTTCACATTTATTGAGCATATCTCAAACAAACAAGTAGAAGTGGAACAAGAAAGATTGCAAACTCATAGAAATATTGAAAGTAGTAATGTTCTACACCAACCTGTAGGAGATGAGCCAGTTGATGGAGGGGAAGTGCTTCCTCTGGGCGAGTTTCTTGTCCAAACCCCAGAACACCTGCACAATACCCAGGGTGGCGGAAGTGACAGGGTCAGAGAAGTCACCACCGGGGGGCGATACGGCACCCACGATGGAAACAGAGCCTGTGAAAAGCACAAATTATCACAACTCTGATATTACATATGACGTCATCAGAGATTTATTCGAGTGAAAAATGGAACGAAAATTAATTAATTACTATACATATATTTAGATTATGTTCAGACTTTTCTAAATGACCATACAGTCAGTATATACAGTCTGTGCACTAAAGATGAAACTTTAAACTGAGAAATCAAATTTCCATCTTTAGTGTATAAGTAAAAATAAAAAAATAATTCCAAGATTTATGACTTACACGATGTACGTTGTTCCGTCGTTATTGTATAACGATTTTTGATTTGTGAGAATGTGGCAAACAAGCTGGGGGTTCATCTGATGTTAAGTGATAATTTAATATAAATGAGGTCATGGTACTTCCCTTGACGGACCTGCCTATTCGAGCTACAGTGTAGAATGTTGCATGGCATGGCATACCTGTTATCTAAGTATGTACTTATGTACATATGTATGCATGTATTTATATCGTATGTATGTATGTACGTACATACGCACGTATGTAACGACGACCCGATTGGCGTGGGGAGTAGTGAGCCTGCCTCTTACGCCAGAGGGTGTGGGTTCGATCCCCACTACCGGAAAAATATTGTATGATGAACATAATGTTTTTCTAGTATCAGGTTGCTTTTATTTCAATAATATGTATTTATTTACAAAAGAAAAGTATGTTCAAGTATGTTTATCAATTTTTTAGTACACATAGTACAAGCATTGCTTAGTTTCAGACTAAGAGAATGTTGTATAAAAATGTGTCCCGGCTAATATTTGTTTTATTTATTTATGTAACGTACTTAACATATGTACGTATATAGCGTACGTTGCGTAATTAACGTACGTAGCGTATGTACGTACGCAACGTATGTACGTACGCAACGTATGTACGTCCGTAACGTATGTACGTCCGTAACGTATGTACGTATGCACTCACCCTCGCGGTCGGGGTTGCCGAGGCACTTGACCCTGCCGGCGCGCTCGTAGAAGGAGGCCAGCCGCGCGCCCAGGTAGGCGGGGTAGCCCGAGTCGGCCGGCATCTCGGCCAGACGCCCGGATATCTCTCGCAGCGCCTCGGCCCAACGGGATGTGGAGTCGGCCATCATGGACACGTTGTAGCCCATGTCTCTGAAGTACTCGGACAGGGTGATGCCTGTCAAGGACATGGAACGGTTTAGCTTCGTGTCCACCTTGGCTCGTTCAAGTTTGAGCTCTATCAGGCTTAGCCCCTCAAAATGGGAACGGCTCATTGTTTCCAGGAGCTAGTCTCTGTTGTGATTACGGTGAAATTTTGAAATTTATAAATAAAGCTCTCGCTAAATTTTTTCGCTGCTGGATTCGAATCTTCGCCCTCCTCCAGCCAAAGCTAAGCAGTCGACATGCTCGCCGTACGAAAATCTCGACGTTTTATATACTTTGTCTTTATTGCATTTTTTTGTAAATGAAAAATTTCAGTAATCATAACTTCTTTTATTATGGGACATTGATTCTTTTCAAACAAGATTAGCTTTAATTTATTATTTCATTAATACTATTTTTAATTATTGTTAACAATTACTACACTTACTATTATGGGGATATGTCAAGAGTTGCCATATAAAACTATTTAACATTTTATTTGCATTTAATATTGAACATCTAGTGTGACAATATTTGAAACCAAACATTATTTTACATTAGCAAATTGTATTGCCACAACAATTTTAAAATGTGCACAAAAACTAGTGCAGTCATTGTGAGGGATCAAATTAAGAGAAAAAATCAAAGCCTCTATAAACTCACCGGTGTAAATGGAAGCCTCACGGGCGGCTACAGGCATGTTGGATGTGTTGGCTACCAAGGCGGTACGCTTCATGATGGACTCTGTCACACCATCGATCTCCACCGTCAGCTCGGGGAAGTCACGCAGTACCTCAGACATCTCGTTACCTTGGAAACACACACAAGGTCAATATGACCGTAACAACAATATAGACATATAATAATTATGAAATTCTTTCAAATTTATTATGAAATATTTAGACAACCGGTTCCTGAAGGATCCTATTGTGAAACCCTGATTTACTCCCAATGTTATCCTTAGACACCATATTAAAATCAGCAACAATGCTTAACCAAGGAGTTCTCTACCAGTCAACCTACTTGGAAATGCAGCGATAAAAAAATAAGTGTAAACAAATATACCATGTATAATAAATGAATTATAATGTAAAACTGAGCAGCTAATGATATGATTGCTTAGACAACTTATCCAGAAACAGTTTCTATAGTTTGATCTTAAACACTGTAACCATCGGTAATCCTCGTAATTTCTAAAGGAATGCATTACAAAAAATAGATTGGGCAAGAAACGAAGATTGGATATAGACTTAGTTCTACATAGGAGAATAATTTTACATTAACAGTCTTTGGGTATACATACAGTTATTCTTTAAGTTTATCACTTCATTCTACAAGCATTTTAATAATGATGATTGAAGTTTTAGTGGTGATACTTACCACGCTCACCGCAACCGACGTAGATGATGACGTCAGAGTTGGAATACTTGGAGAGCGCCTGCGAAATGACAGTCTTGCCACAACCGAAGGCACCAGGGATGGCCGTGGTACCACCCTGGACACAGCTATAAGAACACAATGACAAAATATAAAAATATAGTCAAACATTCAGCAGTCGAAATGCATTTGCTGTGTTAATTGACTGAATATGACGTCTCATCTCTTTGTACAGTTCATATAACTACTAAAATTATATTTCTTAACTTGTTAATATTTCTTGCTTACAGTAATATAAGTTATACATCAGAATAACAGTCTACAATTTATAAAGATATGGGGTAACTCGGTCATAATATTACGGTAAGCATCAAGTAAGCTGGAAAAATTCATGCCCTCTGAGCAGTATCTTGGTGTGTGTGAATAAATGATTTGATTTGAATTGAGAGCAATATAAGTGGTTATGGATGGTTACTTACGGGAACAGAGAGTCGAGCACTCGCTGTCCAGTGAGAAGTGGGTGGTTGGCGGGCAGTTTCTCTGTAACGGGACGTGGCTGACGCACGGGCCACACCTGCAACATGGTGTACTGCGCCTTCTCGCCATCGAACTCAGTCTCCAGAACCACATCCTGGTGAAGATAAATGATAGCCACATGTTTTTCAAATGAACGATGATTCACTACTGTCCAACTATTCAGCGAGGAAGTGCAGCTACAAGTTCTTGGCACAATGCCTTGCGGACTAACTAATCAATCAGACATTTGAAAAGCCGCTGCTGTTTAGTCTATGATGATCAGTGTTTCAGAAACTGGGAGTAAGTTTGATAAATAATGTGAAATATAAACATTATTTGTCAACCACATGGTATTCGTTAGATAGACAATGACTAGTTCAGTTATCATTTGTCAATATTGTTAGTTTTTGGTATTAACAAAAAATTCTAGTTATTGAAAGTAAAACAAATTCTATCAGACATTGATATCTTGAGTTAAGTGAAAGCAAGAGATGTATAATATCTTCTATTATATAAAACAACTATAACACAGGTCAGTCATTCCAATAGCAAGAACGAGTATTGTGTAAGTGTCATTTAAAAGTTGCCCTTTTAAATCTCTATAATGATGAAAATAAAGAAATACAATTTTTTTTAAGATTTATATACTGAAGTCAAATAACTTACATGAAAAATTGTAAAAAGGCATGTTAAAATACACTAAGATATATCATATTTTGATTTTTATTATTTTTTATTTTTTTGGAACATTAAGGTAGAAACAATGATAAGTATTCTCAAGGATGGACTTACGGTGACTTTGTAGTTTCCAGCTGGCGCGATGTAAGTGACTGTACCCTTGGCTTTGGGCGGCATCAACATTCTGTGCTTAACCAGGGTATTCTCGTGGACAATACCGTACAAATCACCTCCGGTGATGTGCGAGCCCACCTGCAATAAATTAACCATTATAGCAAATATCCAAACCATAAGAGGGAATAGAATTGTCTTTTATGAACTAAATTGAAACAATTTTGAGGGGTCTACAATACTGTTACTTGTGGATCTCAAAAACAGATGATAAAATCATTTGAATTCTGGTGTTTTTTTAAAACATGGCTTTGTCCTATTATGTTCAAAATAATATTGCAGTAACAAAAGCATTTTAACATTTTAAATTAGAAATAATGATTGGAAACAAAACTGATTTCAGTATAAAAAGTTCCACTGTATTAAATTTTGGAAAACATTATTTCATACCTTAACTGTGAGGGGGTTGAACTCCCAATCGACCTCGCGTGCCAAACTGGGCACGTTGACTCCCTTCGGGATGTAGATGGACTGGGTCAGCTCGTTGATGTCCTTCAGCGGTCGTTGGATACCATCGAAAATGGAGCCGAGGATACCAGGTCCAAGTTCCACGGACAAGGGTTTGCCTGTACGCAGTACGGGATCGCCAACAGTCACACCCGATGTTTCTTCATATACCTATGCAATGAATGAATAAATAAATACTTTCGCAAGTATTCATATATCTTTAATCTAAATTTTGGTATTCATATATATCGCGGTTATATGAATACCAAAATTTTAAATCAAGTATTTGTTACAAATTGGTAATTAGGGAATACTCTAAAGAATGTAAAGGTCATATCATTTTTATCAGTTAAGTTTATATGTTTATATTTTAGTTTGCAATGGATTAAAAAACAAGAGCTTAAATTCATGTACCATTCGAAGGTTAATTGCAAATGAATCTGGGTTTGATTGATAAAATAAGACTTACATTTTACACTACAATTTTTGTCTTACCTGAATGGTGGCCAAATCGCCTTCGAGACGAATGATCTCGCCCACCAGCTCATTGTAGCCGACACGTACCAGCTCGTACATAGCAGAACCGGACATTTTTTCGGCCGTGACGACTGTTTACAACGGGCGTTTTATTTTTGAATTTCACAGGCAGTGATATTAAATGACATCAGTACAGAATTGATTCTTTGGAAGTTTAAATGTAAATCTAATAGAAAAATTGTAGAAATTTATCCAGCGTCATAAGTGTTTGAACATGACTATCTATTATGTTTCATTAAAAAATCATTATTATTATTTTAAATGAGATATGTTGTAACAATAAATTTAAAATTGATACAGACTATCAAGGAATGTACTAATGATATTAACAAGAAAAAACTGACCAGGGCCTGATACGGCAAACACATAGCCGAATCTCTCCTCATTCTCCTCATTGGCGATCTTTTTCAAACCGCCCTTTGACGCCATTTTGAATCAGGAGTGCTTATGAACTGAAAATAAAGATTATTAATCTTTTAACAATCGCATAATATTTATCAAAGAAATCTATTACTGAACTAAAATTTGAGAAATAATTTGATGATAATTGATTGGATATATTTTAATTCAATATCTATGTTTAATTATGTATAAAGTATTTTAAACCTTTACACCCAAAATCCAGTTTTTAAACAATGACAATATGATCTAAGAGCATATTTCAAAGTTTAGTAATGGAAAAAGCCATAGGTTTTTGCAAGTAATATACCATAAATAGAATATTATAAGATTGAAATCTTAGACTCAACCATAACTGTAAAAGGCTACAACCATCAGATACTAAAATTGTGGATAAGATTACATTAGGTATATTAAATGTTAAACTATTCCACCATAAAAAAGAATGCATGATATTTGATATATAATTATGTGTACCTTAAAGAACCCGATACTTTCCCGAGACAATATACATATATACAATATATAGATATTTTACCTAAATTACTTTAAATGCACCCCACCACTTTGGTATCTATAAGAATACTGACAGATCTGTCAGCTGACCCAAAGTCACTATCATGGATAAGAATTGATAACATGATATTTCATCAATCAATGTCAGTTAAAATCAGAATTTTTAAGATGATGGTATATTTTAAGAAGTTATTATTGTAGATATTCATGTTACTTAAAAAAAAGCAATGTGAAAACTGAAACAGCATAATTAACTGTTTGACAAATCACCATATTATAAAAAATAACATAATTATTATATAACCTATTTCAAAAAATTCCCCAAACCTTTTACAATTTCTTACATAATAAAAGTATTTCCTTATTGTCTATTATGTACAAATTAATAGATCTTAATAGGTTTAAATATATATATGGTATTATTGTAGTAACTTAATACAATTTAAAAGACAAATAGTGTAACCATTTTTACATTACATCCTACTATTGTCATTTTTTCCATACCTCATCCCTAAGCATATTGTTATTACATGGGAAGAATAAATATTTAAAGATTCCTGGCAACTGTAATCAAATCAATATGAATTAAATAGTATATAATAACATATTATTAACAGTAATATATTTTTTAATTCTTGAATAGTTGGCTATTAATATTGATTTAACTTGATTAAGACATTATATAGGAAACCCGGTATTTGGTGTCCTATATTTCGTGCTTAAATTGAAAAAAATGAAAATCGCTATAATATATTCTGCGTCAAATTTGCAATGATTCCAATTAGAACAAATAACGTTTCATCAAATAATATCAATTAAAAATAAAACTAAGCCCTGAATTTTAGTGGAATTATTATTTAGAAGACGAGTAAAAAGAAAATTAAAGGCTTTTTAATAAATTTTGAAAGCAAAATTTGGAAGGCTTGGAAAACAGTAGTCACATGATTTAATGGGTGGACCAGAAGACAAGTATTAGATTTAAGACAAATTCCTACGGCTATAATTAAGAAGTGTAATGATACCAAGTAACAAAAAGCTTTATTGAACTACTTATATTAAAAACATGAAACTAAAATAATATGTGACATTACAAAAATCTGAATATAAACGGAAATGGCGGAATCCCGAAAAACGTTAAAACGAAAACTGAAATATAATAACTTACGACTAAAAACACAAACACAAATAAATTTTAATCCAACATAAACTTATTTACTACATAAAATATAAAATTTTAACTCACGGGACAGTAAAGAATGAAAAGGCGATCCCAGAATGGCGGAGATCACAACTTATCACAAGACCAATGATAAAATTTAAGTCAGCTGACTTGAGTCTATGATTAACTGTCTATGGCACGACACGAAATAGCTTAAAATCAATAATGGTGTAGTGGCAATTATTGATTTAGTTACAAAGTACTCATTCGTTTTGAAATAACTAAAATTAACATTTGTATATAATATATACTTATTGTTAAAACAACAAACAATAAATGAAATAAATGTCTTTGGCTATACGAACTGACAAAGGTAGGAAATCTTATCTAGAAAAAAAACTGTTGGGTATCATATTTATTATTATAAAATATTATTACAATTATCATATTTTTATTGGTTAAAACTGTCTAAAACAATTTTTTTTTTATTATCATAGAATTAACTATCACCTCCATACTTTTTAACATGTATATTTATCATTGAAACTATATCATTCATTATTAATTGGTAATCTCAGATTAAACATACTCTTTTGATGTCAACTCTGACCTTTTTGATTTATGTATTATCTGAATTACTTTAAACTTGGAATGTTAATTTTATTTGTTCAGACTGAATTGTGTCATAGTTGATTGATTCCGTTAAAATCCTTTGTAGAAGTAACATGTCTAGCTGTCTGACATAACTCTTGTATTTTATATAAATTTCATAATAATTAGGTTTCGTCTAAAATAAGTTCAAAATGTTAAAGTTGAAATAAATAGTTTTCTAATCAGTCTTTAAGTGTCTTTTTGGCTTGAAAGTGATCTCATTAGCCACATCTGCCATTCAACATTCATGTCATTTGGAAGAAAGTGAAAAATGTATATATTAAAACGCGACTTGAAATCCTGTTATCTTCAGCTGCATATTGTTTTTTTTTTTTTTTAAATATCTGGTAACATTGGAAGCTTGCTTTTTCTGATCTGAATGCTATTCTGGAGGGTAGCATAGAGGAGGACCGTCTCGTATGGGGGATTAGTCGAAAAAGTGTCCACTTGTAAACAGCAAATTATTGTTCGAACTCTCACCGAAATAGCGCGAGTGTAGCAAGTGGAAATGATATGAACTTAGCAGTTACTTACTTTTTTTTTTTTTACTTCTACCCTCCATATATTCTTATATTCTGCACTAGGCATGAGATATACTTGCAACAATCTGTACCCGGCCGCAAAGGTACGGGTATCGCCGTATACCCGGTGCTAAAACTCAGTATCAAAATACCTATAGGTATTAGGTATGTTCATGCCTCTGTGGCGTCTTAAGTTGATAATCTGTGGGTCGACGCGTTTTCTTTTTGACGTTCGTTGTCACTTGACGGGGGTCTTGGTAGAAGAAGTCGGATATTAGATCCGTTATGGTAAACAGATTTTCATTGCAACAATAGCAGATACTGTGCCATCGGATAGCCTTAACGTCCGGTATAACAAGACAAACAATTTGTAAACAGACGCCATTTATATATTGGAAGATATTTTATTGACCAACAGTCACCTATTTAAGAAACTAGATGAAGGGGCTTGAAGGGATGTTCTATCGACATATCCGGCTCCAAACCTTTTGGAGACTAGATTGAATCAAACTTTTGGAACATTTAGATGTTTTTTTTATTTGCAATCAGTTTTTTGAAATTGAGATTTAATCATTGTAAAATAAGCTCTATCTTCACTAACGTAAAGAATCCTATTACCAAAAAAAGTAATTTAAAATAAATATTACCGTTTAACCTTATTACTTAAATATTTATCTACCTAATTATTATAGAAATAAAGAATACATTTATCTCAAGGAATTATTTGGTATGATTCAGAAAATTCAAAATGTCACAGGGAACCTTATGAAATACCGCCACCGTCTGACGAGGCGGCGCTAGGTCCGCGTACTCGCGAGCGATATCGACAATATCTATCGGGTCCGGAATCGGAACGTGCCTCTGCCATACATATTACATAGCTATATAGCACATAACTACATAGTACATATAGTACATACCCGGTCTGCGTACTGGTTGGTACGTTCATACTGGGTTTATAGTTTATATCTATACCGGTATGTACGCCTCATCTCTACTCTGCACCATAGAGTAAAGTAATACTACAGAAATGCTCTCTAGCTTTTTAACTTTTTATTGTATTTACCTTTGCCCAGTTTCTGTAGAGTAGAGATGGGTCGTATCGCTTTTTCTGAGTACCGTATCTGAATCAGATATCGATTTCAAATATCAGATTTCGAAACTATGTATTTTAATATCTAGATATTTTACGGTCCCATATCCACCTTGAATTCTACAAAAAAAAAAAAAAAAGAGTATTTAAAAGTTGATTCATTCTATGTACATAATTTTCCTGATATTTAAAACTTAACTTATTTACAATGATGTGTGGGTTAATAATTATTTAGATTCCTCCGGGTTTAAATTCACGTTTACGAACGTAAGCTGTTTGACTTTAATCGTCGAAAGTCTTGTTCGACGATCATTGTACACAAAGCTATTACCAGTGATACCAACTGTTCAAAAAGAATACTTCTAAATAAATTCGAAAACCCACTAAAATTGACTAAATTCAAAAAACTTACTGAATTTAAAATCACGATTTTTTTATACTATTAAGGTAAAATTAAAACATTACTTATTATTTTTCTTTTTGTGTACTTTTATTTTTTTCCAAAAATATGAATAAAATTTAACTAATAAAAATATTCACAAAAAATTTACCGCCTAAAAAATTTCCATTTATATTTTTCTTCCTTAATTTAGGCAGAAAATTCTTAAGTAGTAAGTTGGCATCCCTTACTATTACGTGCTTAGTACCAATGCAATCCAGCTCAAGACTAAACAAAATTTAAAGACATCGTTAATACCGTAATTCGTATTTAAATTACTTAACTGCGCGCTTTGTCGCCCGTTACGGCTCAAGGCTAAACAAAACAATAGAAATATAATAATATCGTTGTAGTAATCTTTGATACCATGATTAGTATTTAATTAAAACGGATCTTATTTGCATCGTGATAAGATTCAAAATTACTTAACTTATTCATAATATCTGTTTGAAAATCTGATATTGTGCCTTGCTTGCCGTACTGCTCTAACTAGTGTAATATTTGTATCTCACGCGCTTTGTCGCTCAAAATCTGTTTAAAAATCTGATATCGTGCATTGCTTGCCGTCCCGCTCTAACTAGTGAGTATTTATATCTCACGCGCTTTGTGGCTCGATATCTGATATCGTGCATTGCTTGCCGTCCCGCTCTAACTAGTGAGTATTTGTATCTCACGCGCTTTGTCTCTCGAAATCTGTTTAAAAATCAGATATTGTGGTAAACGTGTATGATATCGCGATTCGTGTCGGTATAGCGAGCGAGCACGGTACATCAGATTTCGGAAATCAGATATTGTAAAATACATAGATTTTGAACGAGCCAGTAAGCGATATTCGGATATTGTACTAATATCTAGTTTTCATATCTGATACGATTTGTATCGCCCACTTCTATTCTGTAGTATTACTTTACTCTATGCTCTATGCCTTTGCCCTTCCTTCGGTTGGCATTTAGGCATTTTATTTTTATTTATCCATTTTAATATTAGTAAACCAAAGCCGTATGTAGATATTTTTTATTATTTATTAATCATTTTAATACCAAACAGTATATCTGTTATATACTGTTTGGTAATCTAAAATAATATATTGTCATAATCTAAAAACGAAAGCTTAATGCAGCAAACAAATGTAAGGATATAATTTATCACGAAAAGTTGCTAATTTTGTTATATGCACATATTTCATACGACTTGAGTTTACAGGAATAAGGAAGATGTGCATCTCAGCAAGTCCTTAAGTTGGTTACTGCGGCACGGTGCCATCAAAGAAGGTCTTGCATTGAGGTAAGAGTTGAGATTTCTTTGTTAATGTTCAGTTTTTTTTCGTCAATCTCTCGGTGATTGTTGTTATGATGTTAAAAATATATAAATCATATTCACATACAGCCATGAAGGCTATTTGCCTGTTGAGGAACTATTACAGCACAAAATATTCAAAGGAAAATATGTTATAGCTGACATTGAAAGAGTAGTAGCTAATAATGACAAGCAGAGATTCAAATTGAGATGGAATACTGATAAGAACATTTTGGAGATAAAAGCAAACCAGGGTCACACAATCAAAGTTGATGATACAGACCTTGTCCCTATCTTAGAAGTAAGTTAGCTTATTGCATTCCATGCTTTCTTATATTGTATGTACATTTCCCCTTTGACTTTCATCATCAATACACCCAAAATTAAACTTGTAACATTTATTTCGCTCACTACTTGGACCTGGCTGCATAATCATAGATTGTGATTTCTCAATGAGGACAAAAATATCTTCAAAATAACACTCCTGTCTTACACCTCAATGGCCATGCGCAATAAATTGACGAGTTAAATGTTTTAGTGAAAACTATTACAAACTAAATAAATTGCACATAAATAAAATTACTTTTCTAACAGGTTCTGTTCTAGACTGATCTCAATTAGAGAACTTGGGAAGATATAATATTAAAGATATGAATGTAAATAAGATTTGATCTAAATTTTATTGAAGGAAGAATTTTAAATTATAGTATAAAGAATTTTTGTTTCTGACTGGTCTATAGCTTATAGCAGGTTAGAGTGTAGCAAAATTAACATAAGAAGTACAGCACTTTTTCCTCCTGTAATGTAGGGTCATTTCAAATAATTATTGCAATAATTTTCTTTTTTTTCGGATGGGCTTATGCCACTTTTTACTGATTAGTAATCATCACGTTTAGCGACTGACAACTCTCATATGCCTTGTTATTCTATTTTCGCAACAAATTCCAAGTGTTGTTATCTCACATGAATTAATACTCTACATTGTATGGACCAAGTTATCAACCAATAAAAATGCTCCCTTAGAATTTTTGACCTTTGATTTATTTTATTTTATTTTTAGTTAGCTCTTACGAAACACAAATGCTAAATAATGATTATTTAATATTCACATTTTTATTATTCTCTATATTAACAAGATTAATTTATGCTATTATTATGTTCATATTATTGGCATTAACAGTAAAGGTTTTTTAATATAAAATATACTTCAGGGGGTCAATAATTTACTTAGTACAGGCTCATTAGGGGCGCATAAACTATAAAATGAAATAAAAACCACCTGTCTAAGTGCTATTAACTTGAAAAACCCGACGATTTAGTTTTGATGAAATGCTATTACATCCCCGCTGTAGTCATCCCCGGTGTATCATGGTGGACTTGTAGACTGTAGCTTTACCAGGATGGCCGCTATAGCTATCGAACTTTTGCCTCCCAACTGAAAAACCCTGTATCATAAGAAGAGGTATTGTGGTAATTGTCATGTCAATTTGATATATGGGGTTAGTTGTTCGAATCGTTAAGGGCTTAGGCCGATACAAATAATTTATTAATAAATCATTCGTATTTTTGTGTTTGAATGCTCATCTCATTTATACTTGTTGCACAAAAAAAAACTCTAAAACATCACATTCAGCCCTAATTAACTTTGTACAGATTGATAGCTTTCAATTTCTATTGCTTTCGATCACATCCGGTGTAAGGTAAATTTAAATTATCTTTTAATTATGGATTTTAAAGCAGTCTTATACATATTATTAACAAGTTGACATAATTAATGACTCCTTTATAAATAGTATGAATGGTGTGATGTGTATATACGCCACAAACTAAGATCAATCATCATATCATACCATGCGTGAACCACTTAAATGGTATTTCTGTGTATAGAATCTGAAAAATTTAAAACCTGTACACATTCAAGATTGACCACGAACCATTAGATAGAAAGTCCCAAAGCCCACCCATTATGCCTTTACTAATTTTCTTATAATATTGAACGTTATTTAAAACTAATATTTAAAAAATTATTCTGTTTCTTGCTTATTTTGAACGCACAATGCCGAAAGCGTACAGCACAAGTTCTTTGTTGTAGCCCAAATACAAGACCGTAGTCCACGGGACATATTTCCGGTGTTGGCCGAAGATTAAAGTAGAAGGCCTAAGTCGCATGAGAAGACGCCATATACATCTATCGAAGGGGATACTGGGGTCCAACGTTACCAGCGGCCCGCGTAGCAACGTGCAAATATACATATTTATTGACCTCGCGAAGGCACTAGCAGGAGGCCTCAAATTTTACGAGTCCGAGAATGGCGTAATACTAACCGCGGGAAATGAACAAGGTCTCTTGAGTCCCATCTATTTTGAGAAAGTAGTAGACGCACAAACAGGTAGGCACACCTCATTTTCAATTATTTTTATTTTAAACATGTTGAGAACGTTTTTATAGTGTCACAGCCTAAAATATTCATTGTATTTATAAATGTAGATGCTTTATTTATGTGAGAAAGTGGCAACCGAGCTGGCGGTTCACCTGATGTTAAACGATAATCGCCGCTCATGGACACTACAGGTGTTGCAAATGTATGCCGCCTTTCAATAAAGTGGACCACACTTCTACTTCACGTCGGTCTTTTGTGAGGTCGTGGTACTTACCCGGACGGACCTGCCCATTCCTGCAAATACTGTTGCGTGGCCCTGCCACAATAGACTTCATGTTTATGTCTTAGGAATATTATGCCCGATGACCACCTAGCAGCTTCTACTGTTGCAAGAATGGGCAGCCTCGTACGGGGAAATACCACGGTCTTACAGCAGACCGGCGTGAAATGAAAGTTTTACTTGTTTACCTGCCCACTAAACTTGCAACTTGTTATTTACCTGACTGTTTACACGTATGAATTAAGTTAAAAGAATTATTGCGTAAAATGCGAAAAGATACTGTTTTGAAACTAGAGAACCAAAACCTTGCCCTATGTTATCTCATACAATTGTAACATTTTCTTTAGTATATATTTCATTTTCATTATTATTATATGACGGCTGATTGTATTCATGTATGACCAAGTCACTCTCTTTGTCTGTAGGTATATTCTGGGTTTTTAATTTGTTTGGAGATTGTGATTTGGATCAACAACATGTATTTTTACTTGTAAATAATGCAGATAAGATACTTTGATATTTTCGTCGGTGTGGCAATCATCCGTTTAGCTTAGTGGTTTAAGCGTCCGTCGAAATCCGCAAGACGTGGGTTCGAGTCCCTCAACGGCGAAAACCTTTTCGTCCATTTTTTCTACAAATTTTAATATATCACCTCTGCTTAGGCTGGTCTTTTGTGAGGTCGTGGTACTTACCCGGACGAGCTTGCCAATTCGAGCCCAATCACGGTTTATCTTTAATAGTATTCTCAAAAATTATGCTGTTTTTAGTACAGTATAACTCGTCTATAGATAAAATGACCTTGGTTAAACCATCATTTTGTGACTCATGTAAAGGTAATTTTAATGCACGTCGTAAAATAATTATGTTTACTCAGTGTAATATTAATTTTTGTCATTACTTAAACCCTACGCGCTTTATTATGCAATATAAGCTGTAATCAATTAAGGAGTGACAATATAAATTATGAAGTCGATTGCCCAGTACTAGTAAGTACCACAGTAGTGATTCTTGTTATACTATTTTTCCAACAAATTTATGTATTTCATTATTAAAAATCACCATTCATACTACAGTTACAAGTTAATGCAGGTGCAAATTTGAATGAAGTGATGTAAAGACATTTTCGGATTTATCCATAATATTTGCTTAGATCAGGTATGTTATATAAATACGTAATGTGTGTAAACAGGCGGCACACACACTATCGTCGTATTAGTATGATAGTTCATTAATAAATAAAAATCCTTCACGAGACTAAAAATCTCTGAATATTCAATACTTCTAGCTTTCTGCTTGTCCCTCATGAGTTGAAAATGGTAAAGTTGTTGTGTTTTGTCTCAAGTGTGCCTATTTATATAAAATATATAATTGTAAAAATGTGTTAATTCCGTGTCGTGTATATGGTATCTGTGAGATTTTTCAAAGTTTGATTGTTCCTTCAATTGGTATTTTTTGTTATTATAGGTTATAATTTATCTTTTACAGGAGAGCTTCTTATGTAAAAGATGGAAGCACAAGGTCATAGACGTGCTGTTAACAGCTGTCCGAACAAAATCCACATATCAGGTATACATCCATAATTAACAGTATTATGATATAGTAATAGTATTAATAGATATAACGTAGATGGTTAAAAGAAGCTGTTCAGAGAACTTCATAATAAACAAGAAAAAATTAATCTAACAATCTTTAAACTCCAACTATTCTTGAACACTTCGTATTTTCATTTAATTTTATAAATTTAATTTCAGTAAAATTAATAAAGTTATATTCAACAAAAGTTAATTAAACTAACAGCCTATATTTGTCCCAATACTGAACAAAGGACGCTGTGCAAATTCCATCACGTGACCCAATGACCTCATCGAAATATTTTTATACATATAACATCACCCATAAGTATGAAATATAATATGTATGATATATAAAGAATATTTATCACGTGTTCAACGATAAAGGAAAACATCGTGGAGAAACCTGCATATTTTCGAAATAATAACAAAAAAATCTTTCGAATATATGTGTAGTCCGCCAATCCGCAGTGGGGCCCCGTGGTGGACTATGCCCTGATGTACAGAGGAGGCCTTTGCCCAGCAATGGGACATGTATAGGCTTACTTTTTTTTTCTTTGTCCAATTTTGTCCGCACCGGCCGGATTTGAAGTCGGACACTGAGCTATGATGGCTCTTTTCGGCAACATCTTTATATTTATACAATTCATCTGTACGTCTGCACAGAAGTGGCTGTTGTTGTTTTGTAACTGAACTCCTCCTAAACGGCTGGACCGTTCTTAATGTAATTTTTCACGTGTCTTTCAGGTCGATTCGAGTATAGTTTAGATTCACAATTGAGTCCACTACAAGTTTTATTTTATTTTTAATTTGTCGAATTTAAGTCGACAACGTCTGTCCGGTCCGCTAGTATATTTATATTAAACTAGCGACCCGCCCCGGCTTCGCACGGGTGCAATGTAGATATTAAATTTCTCGACTATATGTATATACATGTATACATATTAACTTTCCGCTTGAACCAGTCGTATCCATCGCTGAAAATCGCATTAAAATCCATTGCGCAGACAAAGATCTAAGCGTACAAACATCGGGAGCGATTCTCTTTTATTTGAAAGGTGGTGCTTCCCATGTGGTATCATAATAATTTCATTGGCATTGGATCTCGGGCTCCGGAGATACTTGGGGAACTCCTGAAAATCAATTATAAAACGAATACAGAACGAGATATTTCAAGTCTGTTTTGTTTTTCGTTATAAAAAGAACTTGTTTATGAGGTAACAAACATATAAAATCCAGTCGAATTGAGAACCTCCTTTTGAAGTCGGTAGAAAAAGTCGCTCCCGATGATTGTACGCTTAGATCTTTTAATGGGCGACAGTGCAGAAAAGTCGATAAATTCCATACCTACATTGCACCCGTGCGAAGCCGGGGCGGGTCGCTAGTGTAAAATAAAAATATGTACGCCGAAAAGAGACGTCATAGCTCAGTGTTGGACTTTTTTTATACTATGTAAAGATGGTATAGTGAATTCTATTCGTATATATTGATAGTAGTTCCGTTTCTCTTCCAGGGTATCCGTCATACACCCAGCCGCAGGACATCGAGCAGGCGTTTTCCCAGTACGGGAATCTCACTTTGGACAGGGTGACGGAGAAATTCGCCACCCTCAGCTTCAAGAATGCGGAGCAAGCTAAGGCGGCGCTGCAGGATCGGGTCATACTGTACGGCGAATTCCTCACCGTGAAGCCGTTCACTAACAGACCGGGCAACTCCAACACCAACAGTCCCAGGAAGGAGAGGAGAGGCAAGAAGAAAGGTAATTACACGCATCAAGTTGACAGCCGTTGCGTACTGTTATAACCGGTCAGTGTAAGGGGTTATGCTTACAACTCCCTTTTCCCCACCATGCCAAAATCCCTTATCATCATTTCTTTCTGTACTTAAACCCATCCTTCGGGGCTCCCGCCAGTCTATCACGAACTGTCTAGACGATCCGTCAAAGTATACACGCGCGATAACGGCTGCCCAAGGATCCCTAATAATATTTCATAATTATAACTAGTGTTTTTTACAGTTTATAATAAATAATCTTTTTTTTAAAAACGGGTTTCAATTTAGTCCCGTAACAGTACGAAGGCAGGAAAGCAAAGAGAAAGTTGCTTTATACGCATTAAGGCGCTGTATGCAGTAAAAATAGGTTTTTCAAAAGATTTTTTAGCAAAATCTACACATTTTATAGCAGCAAAAAATATATGTTAATCTTGATCGTACATTCTAAGGGAACATTGTTTCCAAAACATATTCTCTATATATTTTCTCGATAGAAAAAAATCATGAAACTACCTCTAAAAGAGAAATTCAAAACCAAAAATGAACGTAATACATCAACAAATCTTAATGAAATTAATATCAGTGGTGTAGAATATATTAATAAAAAGGATTGTTGTTTTAATTTGTTGATTGATGTAAGATATTTCTAAATATTAATTTGTTGTTTGGGCTCTCTTCCAACTCCACACGTTGAACAGAGAGCGCCGAGGCGCCTTGCTAGATGGACCTATGCCGCTCGTCTTCCGCTCACCGTTACGAAATATGTTCCGTATTTATTTATTATTGAGGGTTACAATTTTATTAGATCATTCGAAAACACGAAACTAAAAAATATATATTCACATATTTCGTATTTTTAATTATTTGTATGAATTAACAACTAAAGCGTAATTTCAATATCTTATCTTGTCATTGAATAGTTTATCAGTCATATACATACAGTGTAAAGGCAGGGATCCCAACTTAGGAATTTTCTTCAGAAATTTAGGAGTAAAAAAATGTGGAATGGAAGTTTATTGGGAGGTAAATTTTTATGGGAATATTTTTTTAGGAGTTAAATTTTATTCACATTTTCGAAAAAAACTACACAAAACAACTTATTTAAAAAAAATTCAGTGCCGTGCTTGGATGACGTCAGGCCAAGGCCTATGTGTCTGGTATGAATATTTTATGTATTCTAATATTTTTTTTTTTTAATATTGTTTTGATTTTATTCTTAACATATTCATTTCAAATGAATTATGTTATATTTGATGTTCTTGACCATGGTTTATTTTATCAGATAATTATTTTGCCTTTTCCTATAATATAAAAAAATTCTGATTTTAAATTTAGAAATTTTTGTTTGAATTTAATAAATTTTTGTCGGTTTTCGAATTGTTTTAGGAGTATTATTTTTGAACAGTTGGTAACACTGTGTAAAGGACCATCATTCTATAGGGATTGGGTTCAAATCTCTACATTTTTCTTTGTTATATTTTTTGGTGATTTTCTTTTTGTAGGTATTTTTTTTAATTTACCATTTAATTTTTTGTTGATTTTTTTATTTTTATAAATAATTACAACGAAATATTATTGTATTTGTTGAACGTAGAACGCAACAGTTGGAGAACAATCTATCAGATAATAAACCAAGTTTTCATTATTTAAAATTTTTAACATGTCTTATATTGTATGTTGTTTTTAATTTGTTTTATTAAAATATTTAATTTTTGACCCTAAAACGAAACCTATTCTTTTACGAACACGAAAAATAATTGTTTTATAATTTTTGTATTTTCCACATTTTATAACAACAAAATAATTAATTGATTAACAAATTAAAATTTGAAAAAGATGTATCAACCATGACGCTCGGACCAATAGGCTACACGATGTCTGCGGAAGGGAACAATATTTCGATTCTAGTTATAATTGTTGTTGTTTATCGATATAAGGAATTTTATCGATAATTTTTTAAATATAATTTCATTGAAGAATTAATATAACGTAGTAAGTCTTTCACATTTAAAGGATAAATTAAAGATATAAAGTTTAAGAAAATATGTTACAAAAAAGTATTCGTAATTTCTGCCGAGGAGACTATGAAATTGCTGAAAATCAGCGTCAGCTGAAAATCAGCGCCTCAACCGTAACATTATGCTGAGCTGCCTACCTTTTGGTCGTCGCATACACCGACTTTGTATTTATTATTCGATATTAAGAAAATTATTAATTGTATTTATATGTAAATTAGTTATTTTGTTCTCTTTTTTTTTTTGTAAACGGTGTTTGTTTACGATCAATAAAGATTTTCTATTCTATTCTGTTCTAAATTGCGTTAAATTTTTATGAGAAAATTTTACTTTAAATCAAAATAAATAATTATTCGTTTATTTATTGTTTTGTTGTAAGAAATGTCATTTGCCTTTATTAATTTATTTGACCTTAACATGTATTTTTAATCAATTCTAATCCGTTTCCTGATAATTTAAAATAATTAATAGGAAGTTTTTCTAAAATTGTTGATTGCTTTCTCATACTTTATATTTGTTTGTTCATTATTATTCCTATAATAATATAAAAGTAAAGTACAATCATGGTCTATAATAGATATTATAGAGATCATCTGTGTACGTTTCCGAAAGCCTTCCATGATACTATCGATAGTGTCCTACGGCCCATCACTACACACGAGGTAATGAATGGTCTAGCGGCGCGTTGACGAAACTCGCGCGCTGCGCGCTGCTAAGCGGCGTTACCCCTCCTTCGCTTCATAGTTAAAAATTCACTGCATACAGCGCCTTAATAGCTATAAAATTCGTATGCGAGGTGTAGTCGGGTCACGTTTTAGGGTTTCGTACCCAATGGGACCCTATTACTAAGAGTCCGCTGTCTGTCTGTCTGTGCGTCTGTCACCACGCTGTATCTCATGAACCGTGATAGTTAAGACTGGTGAAGCCTTCACAGATGATGTAAAAATCGATACGATCGTTAGTAAACATCTCATTGTCATTTTGCAGATATAAAATGTGAAGATGCAACACTGAATGACATTATTCAGCCGCAAAACATAGATCTCTCCGGCACGTTCGACCAACAGCTGTCCAACATTATAAATGCGGTGCGTCTGACTCAGGAGGAGGTCTCCGCTCGCTGTCAGGTCTATTACGACCTGGAGATGGCTCTGAGGCAGCAGTGGCCAGGTACATACAGATATCATATGCTTTAAACAACTAGTTTATCACAGTTTTAAGTATCTTTACATAGTATACTAGCGACCCGCGCCGGCATCGCACGGGTGCAATTTAATATACATGTAAACCTTCCTCTTGAATAACTCTATCTAGTAAAAGTGAAGTGGATGTATCAATGGAAAATAGGTCGCTCGTAGGTGATTTAATGTCTGACAATTTTTGATGTTGCACTTAAGCCGTAGAAGTTGTGACGAGGCAAAATTAGGTGTGTCTCTGGAGGCCCCGATCTGAACGGAAGTGGCGTTTGGTGTTGCCGTAACAAAAACGCATCAAGATCCGTTGCGTAGTTTGAAAGATCTAAGCATACATAGGGACAGACAGGCGGCAGGATGACTTTGTTTTATAACATGTAGTAAAAACAAAGTCGCCCCCACTGTTTGTACGCTTTGATCTTTTAAACTGCGCAACGGACTTTTGCAGTTTTCAGCAATAGAGTGCCTGAATCACTCTCTGGAAGGTTTATATGTATAATGCATTGCACCCGTGCTAAGCCGGTAATATTATAGCATAGACAAGCCAATAAATTCAAAGATTTGTAAAGTGATTTTTAACAAACATTTTTGTGCATTTACATTGCAAACTCTGGCTAAACCGTACAAGACGGATCAAATAATAAGAATAAATAATCGATATTGCACACATCATGGCAAAAATGACAATTACCACCCGTGTGAAGCCGGGGCGGGTAGCTAGTTAATCATAAATCATGTTCGTGATTTTCAAAAATGGAAATAAAATTCATAGTCATAACTAATTGCTTTCATAACACTATACGCATAGTGCTGTAGTTTTTTTGGTATTGTAAAAAAAATTGTAATAAAAAGATGTGGTATTTAATTTCGAAATTGTGAAAAAGAAACGCGGTGATAATTTCTTAAATCAAGTAGAAAACTTTTAAAAATATTCGCGAGACCTTTACATAATGGTATTTTGTGCTAATTACTATTTACACACTAAACTGACATCGAAATTCAATTCCGATCGTCACCTGAAATTCGGGACCGGTGCGGGGATAGCTTGCTGCAACGCTCTCGTTTCTGGCATAAAGCAAACAAGCATTTATACTTTTGCGTTAGTCCCAAGTTAGCGGGTTGGTGCCGAGCGTGGAGATAGACTGCCGCAACGCTCTCGTTTCTGGCTTAGAGCAAAGAGGCATTTATACTTTTGGATCACCACCGAGCACCAGCTCCAACTTAACCGAAAACCATCGCAATGGCGGCCTTCTAACAGAGCCGTCTCCTTGCAGGCTGCAAGGCGGTGCCGTACGGCTCGATCACCACCGGCCTCGCGATGAAGTGCAGCGACGCGGACTGCTTCGTCAGCGTGCCGCGCGAGGGCCGCCCCCCGGCCCACAGCGCCGTGCGCAGGGCCAAGGCGGCGCTACTCGCCCGCCCGCGCACCTTCGGCGAGCTGGTGGCCATCCCGCGCGCCAGCACGCCGCTGCTGAAGCTGCGCCACCTGCCCACGGGCACGCGCTGCGACGTCACCTTCAAGACGATCCTCGGCTCGCAGAACAGCAAGCTGGTCTCGTGCCTGCTGCACACGGACCCCAGGCTCGTGCCGGTTGCGGTCGCCGATCAAGTACTGGGCGAAGGTGCACGGCGTGTCCGGCGGCGGCAGGCTCACCAACTACGCCCTGGTGCTGATGATCATCTTCTATTTGCAGACGCGCCCGAGGCCGCTCCTGCCCTCGGTGCGGTGGCTCCAGAAGGACCCCGTCCACGAGTTCATAGTCGACTTCTGGAACGCGGGCTTCCGCGCCGACCTCGGATGGACGCCCCCGTCCGCGGACGCCGCGCCCGTGTGGGACCTGCTCGGTGGGTTCTTCGAGTTCTACGCGAACTTCGCGTTCGACGAGCTGATCGTCTGCCCCTACGTCGGGTATCCGGTGAGGAAGCAGGCCTTCGCGGACGCGGAACACGTTCCGAGCGAGTTCGAACGCTACAAGTTCAACGTGGACCGCGAGCACGTCCCGCCGCTGAGGTGCGACACGCCTCTCTGCATCCAGGACCCCATCGAGCAGAGCCACAACGTCGCCTCGTCCGTATCGAGCAAGATCGCCCAGAACATCCTGGAGTTCTTCAAGTTCGCCGCGGCCGCTTACGCGCGAGAGAGGGCCACCGGCTGCAAGGACTTTCTCAAAGCGCTCCTGCTGACGAGACCGAAAATACTTCGGCCGAGGGCCGTCACCGAGTACAGAATCGTCCTGACCGCCAGGGAGCTGGAAGCCATCGAGAAGCCCGAGTGGAAAGCCGTCGTCAAGGACATAGTACTCGTCATCTTCAAGGACATGCTGCGGATCGACCTGCAGAACATGGTGGAGAAGACCACCGAATCGCAAAAGGAGAGGACGACGTACGACGCGCGTCTGACCAAAGCGCTGTGGAAGAGGAACCGGTTCTCCCTACTCTACAACGCGCTGGCCCTGGACCTGGTGGAGAGGCAGAAGCGGATAACGGAGGAGATCCTGAAGGCGGAAAAGCACGCGTGCAAGCTCTCGTTCCGTCTGGTGCTGACGGTGACGAGCGAGCCGCGGAAGGTGGCGATCTCGCTGAACATGAGCGACGGCGAGCCCAACCAGTTCAGGGAGTTCGGCAAGTTCTTCAGCGGCGTGATACTCACGTGGGTGAAGGCGCTGCTGATGCCGCACCTGAAGGCGTCGGCGGCGAACGCGCCGGTCAACGTAAAGGATACCATAAAGATAATCGACAGCAACCTGGACTCGAGCAGCGACAGCGACGATTCCGTCTCAGTCGAGCCCAGAAAGGACCCCCGCGCGGGGAACGGTGCAGCCCCAAAACCCACCTGAGCCCACGCTGGCCCCAGGCCGGTGCCGCCCCCGCCTCTCGCCCTGCGCGGCATATTCGCGCCCCCCTTCCCGCACCTCTCGATGTTCTAGTATTTCAATTGACGTCACGTGAAAAAGCACCTCTTGAACATTTACGCCCGGTTTCAATATTCTATCTACAGATTGATTGTGTTACGGGCGATAGGTATTTGACATTAGCTCCATAATACTTTTACCTAAAAATTTTATCTAAAGAGAGATAGAAGATATAATAATAAAACCGGCCGTTGGAAGTTTAATCAACTCGAAGGTAAATTTTTATGGTGAAAAGCACAATGTCTCGTCATATACAGCGTATCGTTACCATTGCGACAATAAACGAACACACATATAGGGGATAACTTTTTAAAGTTGTATTAAACATTTAAATTCTTTAAACTTCAATATTTACAGAGTTATTAAATTTTCCAGAACAAAGAATTTTAGAACACCCTTACCTATAAAAGCGTAACGTAAAGTTCATTTGTAAAGGTCACAAAGCATATGAATGGGCTGAATGAATTTAAAAGAGACAAAACATACTTTTAGAAGGAGAGGCTTGTAATACGACGCTGTGGCGCGAGTTGTATAGGATGTTACAAATTTTGTTTCTTTTTTACTTAATTAGTTTGTTTGAAAAATATTTTTTTTAATTATGGATTTTGTTTAAAGTTAATATTTGCTTATGATTATTGGCAAGTAGCCTTACACGTGTGTTCATTTGTCGCGATGGTAACGACACGCTGTATAAATAGTTTCTGATTTTCAAATTTTATTTTTTATAATAATATTCAAACTCCCATTTTTACTCACCTTGTATTGTGATTAAATATTTCAATATTAATTATTATTAATCATTTTACGATTGAAATGATATCGAGCCTGTTACACTTTATACTGAAAAACATAAACCGAACATAATGGTTCGAATTGCGGTACATCGTTTTATAAAGACTGATTCGTTTGTTATATGTTGTTCTATTGTTATTCTTGTTTTAATTTTATAGATATTTTTCTCTGATCTCAAGTTTAGAGCATCCCAATAAAGTTTATACCAAAAACACACGTCAAAAAAAACGCATTTCTTTTGATAGACAAGGCATACGTTTTGTCCAGTAGTATATAACCTATAGATGCGCAGTAGTAGCCTTGTATTTCGATGTCAGTCAATTATTGATTTTTTTTACTTACAAAAACTAGGCCTACCAACTTCATTACAGTACTGATCACACAGGATCTAGATTCTAGACGCTATTTGTCGTTTTCATAAATTGATGGGATCCCTTTTAACTGGTACGTAACAACATTTCTTCAAATTAATGCTCGTGAGTAATTGCAAAATGCAAGCGAAATGTATTAAAATATATTATTTTTCTGAATCGCAGAATCTAGACTTAAAAATTCTACAACTATTTGACAACAGACTAGTAAATGTTTGACATTAGCAATATGGATATAAACAATGAATGTTTGACATTATGTATTTTTGTAAGTGTAACTAGTATTTTATATGAATTTTAGCTTTTTGCACTTCTTATTTCTTTTCATTTCTCTTATTAACACGGCAAAGAATAAAATTCTACATAAGGAATCCACTTCAAAAACCAATAGAGAAGTATTTTCACTATTACTGTTTATATTTTTATATTAATATTCTAACATCCATTTTAATTGATTATTTCAATATATAGGATACATAATAATATTACAATTGGAATCGATAAATTATTGAGCCAGTATTTGCTTCTTGTACTTCAAAAACCTTTTAACATATGTAAATTCTTCATTTGTTTATATCTTGTGTAATTTTCTTAATAGTTGTAATATTAAGTTGTGAACTTAGCATAATAATTACAAACTCATTTTGTTCTAGGTTATTTCAATTACGATTATTATATCAATTACGTAAATTTGTTTAGATATTCTATATATTATAAAAATATTGATATATTCATAGACTCATTCTCTTCATCATTTCATTATAAAAGCTAGGCAATAATAAACAACCAGAACATATCCTTATAAATTTGAAACCATTTGTTTCTTCACCATAATTGTGTCATTGGCGATATCATAAGGACCGCCAACTGCCTTAGAAGAAGTAGAAGAACACATATACGCTCATTACTCCTCCATTAGTTATATGCTCGGTGATTATGTCGAACTTTCTAAAACTTTTCAAATAAGATCTTTCTTCCCAATCCCATACCTTTTTTTAAATAGCGTGGCTTGCGCTTTACTGTGAATTTTTCTAACCATAATAAAGGTGGGAACACACCGTTTTTGTTTTTAGATCGATTATATCATCGCACTGTAGGAAAAACGCTGTTATTTCATGTTCCCTATTTGATGTTATTTCGAGCATTATCTCATAATAAGATAAGTTTACATAATCTTTATTTAACTTAGTTAAAAGTTTTCTTTCTTTGAAAATCTTTTCGCTGTTTTAATAATATGTTTTACAAATATTCCAAAGTCGTTAAATGAATCTGGGTGTAGCATTTCTGAAATGTATTGATTTTTTCGTTAAAATCTGAACATCATCGTATTTAAACTAGTAGCGGGTAAGATATATTAGTAACAAGTTGTAATTTTAACTTATTAAGTGACTAAATGAGTATATCATTGAAATATTTACCACGTTCGACGCCTAATGGTTAACATTCAAAGTAATAACATACAACTACGAATGCTATCGAACGGCAAATTCCTTCTTTAAAACAACTTTATGTGTAACGTACTATATTATCTATTTCGTTTTGTAGTCGTAGATTTTATACTTAAAAAAATATTTGCAAAAAAACAATTACAGTCAATTAAACTGATTGTTAATATTATCTTTAACTATAGGGAACCATACTCATGTAATGGCAAGTTGTATGTGTAATAGTTGTATTGTTGTTTAATGTATTATATCTGTATTCTGTCCGTGTCTTCGTAGTAATGCTATGTACAGTTGTAATTGTAGTGTTTTTAGAAATATTTTTAACGTTTACGTGATTTTCTTATTGAAATTCATTGGATCGTGTCCAAATATTGCATTGTGTTTTATTTATACATATTTTTATCCTGTGAATTTAACCACTGGAAGGAGGTCTTTCAAGTGAGAATACAACTAAATCGAATCATGACCATGGATTCATCATGAAAAACATCGGAATCGTCTGTAATGTCTAATTTAATTTATTAAAAAAATTGAGAGCGAACAAACGGTTTTTAATGTATGATAGTATGTCAAGCACCCTTGGATATCTGCAACAGAGATCGCAGATGTTCTGACAACCTACAATTGGGTAAGTCCATAGAATTAGGATCTAAACACAAAAAACCGTACTCTACCCATAGACCACTGAACTCGGTCTTTGATGAATCTCAAAAGAATAAATGTTTTTCAATGGTCTTTTGTGAAGATGAACTACCCCGAGTACGTATCAGCAGAATTTAAACTTATGCCTAAGAGGTAGGCAGTGCTGAGGTGGAAGTCTATTGTAAAGTTTAAAATTTGTTGTAATATGTACGAAGTTTTTTGAATAAGTTGAAATGAGTTTATGATCCAGCGTAGCGCCTATATAATTGGTCTTGCATTCCCACGGAACGGTTTGGGACTAAGTTAGATAAACTAGAAGATCACCAGCAGAGCGTTCTTTAATCAGACATTCAATATGCAAGGTGTGAGTTCTCCAATGGAGAATATATCTGAGTCATGGTTAGAAGCCCTCCCCAGAAAACGTGGGGCTGCCTAAGCGCCTACGATGACAAAGCAAAGGGTTATATGGTCGCAGTCGCCCAGGGTTGAATTCTCCAGAACCACTGTTACTGATGTCTTCTGGGGTAAGTTTTTTGGACCCTTCAACGATGTAATTGGGGGTAAGAGGTGGGCATCCGAAAATGTCACACGCCAGACGAAACGCCAAAGTATAAAACTTCCACTTAACGCCGGTCTTCTATGAGGCGATAGTATTTCTCCGGACGGACCTGCCCATACGTGCAACAGTAAAGACTGGTGCGTTCCCACCACGTGTGGTTATTCTATATCGATATTGTGGATATCGAACCGATTTTGTTGGTAAATCGGAGCCACCTACTGTTCTGAGTTGTGACAGTGTTGCCAGATGTACGATTTAGGTAAGTCGTATTAAGATACCGTTTTTAACATGTACGATCCGCAGAATAACTGTGGCAGGGCCACGCAACAGTTTTCACTGTTACACGAATGATCAGGTCCGTCCGGATAATTACCACGACCTCACAGAAGACCGGCGTAAAGTAGAAGTGTCTTTGTTTGTTTCGTCTGGTGAGTGAGATAGCTGGGGACCCAGTTTTATTTAAATATTTTGTTTGATAAAAACATTGCCCTTACTTTAGAATAACTTTATCCTGTGTTTGTAAGGACGTTTTACCAACAACCAGATGCGAAACAACATCTGTGGGTAACACAGTCGGGGGTCGTGAGAATTGAACAATGCCTTGGCCACTGCGCAACGGAGTCACCCACGGAATTTATTTAAAGGTTTTTGATTTAAAAATTAAATGTTTTTGATTGGAACCCTCTACTTAGTAAGGGCAATTTAGATAATGCTACAGAATCTTTTTATAGTAAGTTATATGAACTAAGAGATTTATATATACACAAATAAAAGATTAATTCCTCTCGTTATCCTCCTTGGTATAGTCAGTCATTGATAAAAATATTACGCAATAAATACAAATACCGTCAAAAGTTTAAAACTTATGGCAATCTGAGTAACTACGAAACTTTTGCGTTCTCACGTGTGAGGGCTAAGGAGGTTGAAAACGAATGTTATAGAAAATATTTCTTTAGCACGGAAACATATATAGCTAGTAACCCAAAATCATTCTGGACTTATGTGAAAGCGAACAAAGCTGCTCAATCATTTCATAGCAACATGAAACTTAATAATGAAATAGCTGAAAACGGTCAACAAATTAGTAATTTATTCGCAAAATACTTACATTCAACTTTCTCGTCACCAGAAAATAATTCTCAATTTATTCTTCCCACCATTAGTGATGTGAACATTCCCCAATCGGTTAATCTGTATACCATATACCTCAATAAAGACGAAATTTGTAGGTTACTTAAGTTATTAGATCTTAATGAATCAGGTGGGCCTAATCTAATACCTCCTCATTTCATAGTTAGTTGCGCTGCCGAACTTTCAGAGAATCTTTTCGTCCTATATCGCCGCTCGCTATCCGAAGGCAT